GATCATCGATCCACGCAATTGGGATTGATGACCGTGCATCAACCAAGTCAGGGAGCCTGACCACCCGATTCCGTTAGTCACCTTTTACTACAAGCATAGTCGCCTTTTACGGCAAGCATGAGTTGCTGAAGACCTATTCTACCCCGGAATCTTCACGGGTCTGGTGGCAGTGGGGCGCACACTAGGATCGGATGGTTACAGTGCGCGATTGTGCAACCTTGTAATCTACTCAAGTTGCAAAACACTGCCCCGACTGCGAACACTGCATGCATGATAGGGTAGAAGTCGATGTTTTCTACCCCGACACAAACAACCACGTCGCGCTTCCGAACGTCATGTGCTAAAGGCCCTTGGAGAATGAGTTGGCCTTCAACAGAATATAATTGATGAAATATATTTTGTGTAAATAAAACTTATAAGGCCGAGGGAACAAATCATAACACAGAACAATGAACACTGTGACTTTACTGATACAGAGATTACTAGACGAGCGTTTGTCGGGTAAAACGAGTTGTAAGATGAATGGTGTATGAGCGGTACGAATGCAATAATTTGTTTCTTAGAACCCCACAATCGGATCATATTAGAGTTGTAAGATAAATGGTACATGTAGGTCTTCAGCAACCCATGCTTGCTGTTAAAGGCGACTGCTAGTCGTAGGACGGGATTGGGTGGTCAGGCTCGCTGATGCATGTCATCGTATCCCAAATGCGGAGATCGATGCTCTTGATGTCAATCACTGGATTGTCTGGACCAGACTTGATTTTTTACAGACCGCCGTCATAAAGCTGGAATATTGCTGAGTGCGGCGTTAAAAGACAAACAAACAAACAACATTCCTTGTCTAAATACACAATACAACATATTTACAGTGCGTTTTACAGATCTTGTGTCATTTAACTGCGCTTCCAATGATAATATTTACATGGGGCAGAAGGAGCCACAATGGGATCGTTGGGTTGCAAGGATCAACTCTTAGTTAAAAGAATGTATCCTTAAAGAGGCTAAAACTTACCAGCGTAACCTCTCAATGTTTTGGATAGACTACAAAAAAGAGTGGGATTCTGACCCCTCAAAAATGGATTCTGAAGTCACTGGACTGCATGGACCTCCCCCAGCAACTACTGGCTTTACTCAAGTCTTTAATGAATTGCTGGTCAACTCAAATTGAGATGTATTCGCAGGGGCAGGTGGTGACTTCGGAACCCATTTCTATTTAATTTAGAAGAGGAATATTTCAGGGCGATTCTTTTGGTCCTTCGCTTTTCTGTTTGTCACTGAATCCTTTAAGCTTCATGCTCAGCAAAAAGGAAGGTTGTTGTGTCCTGGACCCCCTCAGCACAGACCCCCATCACATCTTACTCGCCTCCTTTACATGGATGACCTAGAACGTTATGCCGCACTACAAACTGTCATTGTGGAGTACATATCTAATGATACTGGCATGTCCTTTGGGCTCGACAAATGCAACATTCTTCATCCATCTGAAACGTCGTAAGGAAGAAGAGAGAGGACGGTTCAGTTCACTTTTGGGAGGAGGTATTGACTATCACGTGCAAAGAAAAACATCGGGCAGAATACAAATGTAGATTTAAGAAATTCTGGAGTTCAGAGCTGAACGCTCGCAATAAAGCGAAGCCACAAATACTTATGCTGTTCGCGTCCTTTCGTATTCTTTTGGAATTGTTGATTGGACAAAACAAGAGGACAGGATATGCTTACCTTCTTCGCGAACACCTGGTATCATTACTATTTGATAGGTGGCGGTCGGGTAGCCTAGTGGTTAAAGCGTTCGCTCGTCACGCCGAAGACCCGGGTTCCAATCCCGACATAGGTACAATATGTGAAGCCCATTTCTGGTGTCCCCCGCCGTGATATTGCTGGAATATGGCTAAAAGCAGCGTAAAACCAAACTCATTCACTCACTCACTCACTCACTACTATTTTGATGGTGAGTCATGGACGCATGTCCATTATATGGTCAGAATTGTACAATCGTCTCTGCTTTTTTCTTAAGATTATGGAATTGTTTTCTTGCTCTTTTTCTGTACAAAATCGACGCAACGTTCTGGTCGCTGGAATATAAACAAAACACAAAGACACAATGGACTGCATTCAGAGTTTTGTTTGTCAGAAAAAAATCTTGCAGCCCAGGGAGACAGCGTCTTGGAGGAACATATGCGACGCATTGGTATAGAACTTAGATGTCGCAGTGATGCCATCACAACTATCTTTGCCAAAGTTGAGCAAATATAATCCAACCGTGCCTTCGAACTTTTGAGTCAATGGAGTGAGTGAGTGAGTGAGTTTGGTTTTACGCCGCTTTTAGCAATATTCCAGCAATATCAAGGCGGGGGACACCAGAAATGGGCTTCACACATTGTACCCATGTCGGGAATCGAACCCGGGTCTTCGGCGTGATGAGCGAACGCTTTAACCACTAGGCTACCCGACCGCCCCCTTGAGTGAAGGGAAGCGGGGGATAAAGCTTAAGATAGTGAAAAGATTATTCGTGACCTGAAAGCTGCTAATTCTGAGCTCAAGCGTAATGACATTGTAGAAATAATTCATACAGCTCTACTTCCTTTCCGTCCAATACCAAGACGAGATTTGGATCACTTTTCTTCTTCTCCTGCTCCGCCCTTTAGTTTAGTATCAGACTTCGGTCATATGAAAATGATGAAACGGACAGAGCCGACTCTGTAGCTTAAGGTCAAACTTAAATCCCTGCATTCACAACTGTGCACTGAAGATGACACTTTCAGCCGCCGATTGGAAATTTTATTATTGATGTTTTGTAGTTAGCTTGTCTGCAACTATCCAATGGGTATTTTACTTTCAAATAGAACATCTGCATGGTATTCGTCTACTTTAAATTAGTTTGGCTTAGCTTAAACACCTGGTGTCATCACTATTAAATAGCGGTTATAAACGCATGCTCATGTTACAGTCGGAATCATACAATCGACCCTGCTTTTAGCAGAGATTTCCTTTGATTATGGAAGGGTTGTGTCGCTAAAATTTCACACTTGCGTCAAAAGGGTCCTGTTTTTGCCATCTCTGGCAGTGTTTCAAACATCTAAGAGAACTCTCTTGTCAAGAAAATACAGTTCAAACTCGTGTTCTTAGACATGTAACAGCGGTCGTATATCATATATCATGACTTGAATATATAAATAACGTGACTTGTAAATATGCATTGCAAAATATGGATTCAAATATGAATGCATCAACACCTGGTGTTATCACTATTTGATAGGGGCGGTCGGGTAGCCTAGTGGTTAAAGCGTTCGCTAGTCACGCTGAAGACCCGGGTTCGATTCCCGACTTGGGTACAATGTTTGAAGCCCATTTCTGGTGTCCCCCGCCGTGATGTTGCTGGAATATTGCTAAAAGCGGCGTAAAACCATACTCACTCACTCACTCACTCACTATTTGATAATGATCTATAAACACCTGCTTATGAATTACGATATAGTAGGAATCGTACAATGTACTCTGGTTTTAGTAGAGATTTCTTATGATTATGGAAATGTTTTCGTCGCTTTTTTGGGGATGCACTGCACATAAAATGTGTTTTAAATACAACGATAATTTGGCATTACATTAGAAGGGATATATACTAGTATCTACTGATTAACGCTGATGAATCTCCAACGAGGTTACACGAGAATACGCAACGTTACATGAGAATACGCATGACAGCAAGTACAGTAAACTACGGTTATAACGAACTCAAAGGGACTACTAATTGTATTTTCGATATAACCGTAGTTCGTTATAAGCATATATACAGCATAACTACAGCAAATAGTCGCGACCAAAAAGTAAGTTCGTAATATCCGTCAGTTCGTTATAAGCGTGTTCGTTTTAACCGTAGTCTACTGTATGTAATTATGTCATGGCTTATCAACACATCTATTCACATGTGTGTCCATCATTTTAACGATTCAATGACCGCAAACCTGGATCATGTGTTAAATATAATGGGTATACAATCACAGAATCTAAGATTCTTCTCCTTGCGTTAGACAAACAGCCTTATCTCCCCTCTGTGCAGTTGGAGTCTCAAGTTACTGTTAAGTTCGAGGCATGTTTCTCAGTATGGGTCCGTGGACTTTTTAGGGGAATCACCTTCTTAAAGACTCAGTACTCGGAATCAGTGTTGAGTGAACTTAAATTGTAATAATATATTACTTTTCTGTACAAGCCGCCGTCAATTGGCAGGAGGACTGCTGTGTGGCACCAGGCAACAAATTTTTTATGCAAATTGTGTGGGTGTGGGTTCGGCGAGTCTTGCTTATCCTTTTCGCTGCACCTGATGTCATCGCTGGTTTTCGTTGGTCGTCACATAATTGTCACGGCTGTGATCCTTTTACGCCAAATAGGTCTATGTCCTTGCATCGCCACGGCTGTTTGTTTTGTTTGTTTGTTTGTTGTTTAACGCCGCACTCAGTAATATTCCAGCTATATGACGTCGGTCTGTAAATAATCAAGTCTGGACCAGACAGTCCTGTGATTGATATCATGAGCATCGATCCACGCAATTGGGATACGATGACATGCATCAGCCAAGTCTGCGAGCCTGACCACTCGATCCCGTTAGTCGCCTCTTACGACAAGCATAGTCGCCCGGATCTTCACTGGATTGTCTGGTCCAGACTCGATTATGAACAGACCGCCGTCATATTGCTTGAATATTGCTGAGTGTGGCATTAAACAACAAACCAACAAACAAACACACCTAATGGCTATTTCAGCTGAATCGGAAACTCAGTTCATTAATACTTCTTACCTATCAAAGCCTTTAAAGCTTTGGAGCACTTATCAACATACATCTGGTTGTAGATGTGTATGTCATACTCATTACCCCCACCGCTGCAGTGTATGCCAACCGTTAGGTGGTGATATGCGCAGATATGTAGATTGACATGGCAGATAGTTCCGAATAGGTTTAACTTACGTGGCGTGTGGTTGGTCCTGCATTGCACAAAGAGGCCGTTACAACATAATGTCTCATATATTGCTGTGAAGAGCAGCGTTAAGCAGTTGTAAAATCTATACCAATGTCGAAGTCAAAAATGCCCCTTCGTGAAACTGCACAGTAAGTATTTGCTTTTTCTTTGATTTTATACTTTTCGTTTAAGAATATAAAATATTGGAAGTAAAAGGCAATATAGCGGTAAATATTATATAAATGGATCACTGAAAATCAGTGATGATATCAGGTGATTGAAAAAAGGGTAAGCATGTCCTGCCCTACCGCTAGCACCCACCACCCACACACAAAATGAGATGGTTCGTAATGCTTTTTGTATCTCATTACAGGGGGAGCAGAATTCACACGATTGACATGACAGAGAGCGTAGCGCCACCTAGGAGGAAGAGTTTTCTTCATGAAATGGTAGACGACGTCAGGAAAGTATTTGGCTTGTCCTTAGGGATACAAAGTCCGGATATTGACGTTGAAGTGATTCACGATGAAGAGAAAAGGGTCCATTTTACAGACGAAATGTCGCTGAAGTGTGATCAACATGTTGCCTCCAGCCTGTTCAGGATCACCAGGATTACAAAGGAGCTGGACCCAGAGGGAGCCTTGATCGTCCCCTTAGTGACAGACATTTCCGAACCAGATCACTACAACTTCTTCTTTTGGATCAAGAGTCGAACCAAATGGCAGGCAATACCAGCGTGTTGCAAGGTAGTAAGAATACATGCAATGATATAACATTTAATTTCAATAACTTGTTGGTTGGCATTCTAGAAGTTTATGAGAAAGTAACAAAACGTACAGCTTTATTCATAACAACTTCTGGTTTATTGCATATAGCGACGTTTCGATTTTCATTCTTACGCCGTCATCAAGCTGGAGTGACCACAACCAAGTGACGAGAAGGATATGTTCATGATATGTTGTGATTAGCAACAGATTAATACTAACAACATTGGTTGCTTGGTTGCGGGGGTTTGGACATGGTCAAACTGAATTTGATGGCGATAAATTTTTTGCTGGTGGTCTGAGAGGGCTGATTTGCTGTCTGCTTTGGCTATTGTAAGTCTCATGTTCTTTGAAGCGGGTATCTTCTGGGCGGGAGAGTCCACCAATCTGATTTCCGCAAAGACACCACAGTGACAATCTTATAGATGGCTCATTTCCTTTGGTGGTGGCGACTGTGTGTGTATGTGTGTGTGCGTGCGTGCGTGCGTGCTTGTACTAGTCAAGACTGATGCCGATTTATAGTGCTAGCTCAATGAGATACCATGCCGCAGTTTAACATGAATACCCCACTCAGACACAGTATACTGGCCCCGTGCCGACCCGTCCTTGTTTTAGCCCCTTAATGCCGAGCGCCAGACAGGGTAACAACAAGTACCATGTGTTAACGTCTTTTGGTATGACGCGGCCGGGGATCGAACCCACCACCAGGGAAGGGGGAGGGGGGGGGGGGGGGGGGGGGGGATGTTGCTTGTTTGATGCCTGCTTGGTGCTTAAGTAAATCTGAGGAACAGTCTTGCCAATGTAGTGTAGGGTGATTCTGATGTGGCCGTATTCTGGTCTGGTCGGTTTGGGTTTAGGCTGGAGTGTGGTGAAAATGGTCCTCTTGACGACTTCTCATGAAATCAGTTACATTTGTTAGATAGGGTGTATGTGGGGTTGTGAGTGAATGAGTATGACTAAGTGTTGCTTTTAGAAAGTTTCTAGTCCCATCATAGTGCTAGTCAGCAAGAATGGTCATCGAACGTTATATCCATGTGTGGATTTGAGCAAAGATTTTTGGTCTGAAGAGCCAACGTTTTATCTACTTTGCTTTTATACCGACCAATTTGTATAAAAGCGGCACAACCCTATCCATTTTTATCAGAAATATCTACAAACAGCAGAGTGCCCTGTACAGTTCCGACTTTCAAATAGTTACATATATTCTGATTATTTCGAATTTATTTCTTTGTGTATTATGGTGTGATCTTAAACCTCAAACTGAGTGAGTGAGTGAATATGGTTTTACGCCGCTTTTAGCAATATTCCAGCAATATCACAGGCGGGGGACACCAGAAATGGGCTTCACACATTGTACCCATGTCGGGAATCGAACCCGGGTCTTCGGCGTGACGAGCGAACACTTTAACCACTAGGCTACCCGACCGCAGCTTTAAACCTCAAACTGACCAAATAGAAGAATTTAGGGACTGCAAGACTTGTAGAACATGTATTAAGAGTGACTCTCGTGAAACATAACACTCTTTATTTCAGGATGGTGTGATACGCGGTCGTTTGGAGCCAATGGACATATTCTGTGCTGTGGCTGAAGTGATTGTGGAAGTACACACAGTTTCGCCTTTCGGGAGTACATTTGTATCCCAAAAAGATGAACGAATTCAACTGGTGTTCCAAGAAAATGCTGTAAAAGAGAACACTGAATTTCATTTCCAGGTATCTATTTATTTCAGCCACCGTATATAAAAATATCCTTTGAAAATCGACGTTGAATGTAACTAACTTATGTTAGGTTGTTTGAGTTAACGTGTGAATGTTTTTTGAGCGAGTGATTGAGTTTTACATCACTTTTAAATATGCCAGAAATATTATGGCGGGGGACACCACAAGTGGGCTTGATCCATTGTACCCATGTCGGGGATTGGAACCTGGGTCTTCGACGAGCGAATGCTTTAAGTGAGTGAGTGAGTATAGTTTTATTCTGCTTTTAGCAATATTCCAGCAATATCACAGGCGGGGGACACCAGAAATTGGCTTCACACAATGTACCCATGTCGGGAATCGAACCCGGTCTTCGGCCTGACGAGCGAACGCTTTAACCACTAGGCTACCCGATCGCCCCTGCGAATGCTTTAAACATTTGGCTACCTCACCGCTCGAATATCCTTTTTTAAAAAGAATCATGAGTGATACCAATTGAAATTAACGCATGCACATGTACATGACATTGGAATTTTATTGAAATAAATAATTTGTCCCAGAAATGCTTGAACAATATTACTATGCTTCAGTCTGTTGAAAAAAAAGAAATTGCCTGCCACAAAATTAAGGAAGCCTTTTCGGGCCATTCAAGTTTTCTCTTGAAATTTCAAGATGCTGTGCTGAAATTCAAGATAACGATCTTGAAATTACAAGATAACAAGTTGAAAATTTAAGATTTTAATTTCAACAAAGATCTCGCGATTCCGGGAAGAAAATAAGGAAACAAGTGTCCAAACAGGCTTCCGTACAAAAAAGCATTGTTTTATATTAATGAGTGAGTGAGTATGGTTTTACGCCGCTTTTAGCAATATTCCAGCAATATCACGGCGGGGGACACCAGAAATGGGCTTCACACATTGTACCTATGTCGGGAATCGAACCCGGGTCTTCGGCGTGACGATGTTTTATATTAAAAACATATCTGGTATTATTGCTGTAGCTGAACGAATTTCTAATCTCGATGTTAAATTCCAGTTCCAACCCCAACCAATATCAATTGGACGTTCCCACGGATACCTAGAATTGTTTGATTATTAATAACCATTATTGACATAAATGACAAATGCCTGTTATTATGCCTTATATCTCCAGGCAGAGTTATTTGACCAAAAGAGGCTACAGGAGTACAAAGCACGCCAGCTCGGAGACTGCATCATCGGAGCAACAAACATCTTAACTGTGACAGTCAGCACCCAGCTGCAGCTTCCTGCCCAACTATCTTTGCCTCTCGACATAGACGAGCCTGACGACACAGACGACAGCAAAGTGGTTTTCCTTCATTATCATTCCAACATGGACGGCGACACAGTTGTCGACGTTATTGAGGACTGTATATCTGTGGACAACCGTTGCTATACGACTGACGTTATGAACTTTTGCAGGTAAGATGTCAATTCATTCACCTTTATTTGAGAGAACGTACAGGTATGGGTAGGACAGTATTAGGTGGTGAGGTGAGGTGAAATGAAGTTTAACGTCGCGTCCAAGATTATTGCACTTATATAGCGACGTGTGTGTGTGCGTGTGCGTGTGCATGTGCGTGTGCGTGTGCGTGTGCGTGCGCGCTTGCACTAGTCCAGTCTGATGCCTATTTATAGTGCTAGCTCAATGAGATACCATGCCGCAGTTTAACATGAATACCCCACTCAGACACAGTATACTGACTCCGAGCCGACCAGTCCTTGTTCTAGCCCCTTATAATTAATGCCGAGCGCCAGACAGGGTTACAACAAGTACCATCTTTTAACGTCTTTTGGTATGACGCGGTCGGGGATCGACCTCCTGACCTTCCCTTCTCCGGGCGGACGCTCTACCACTAGACCACGGAGGCGGTCTAGCACAGTATTAAAGACTATATGAAGATATGAGTTGACTGTTTTACTGTTTTATGGACATAGTTTTAAAGAAACATCATATAATACACTAATTTCCAGCATTATTGTACCTGTGGCGTGGGTTGCCAATATCAACTTTCTAAAGTTCCTATAAATAAATAAATAAATAAATAAATAAATAAATAAATAAATAAATAAATAAATAAATAAATAAATAAATAAATAAATAAATAAATAAATAAATAAATAAATAAATAAATAAATATGTAGAGTGACAAGACAAATTAAAGATGCTCTATTAAGGTTTAACTTTACATTTGTCATTCAAAAGATGCTTTAGTTTGTTCTACTGGATATGGCTAGCTATCCCATATTACCACTGGCCAAACTGTTTCGATTAATGGTCGTCTTGTTTTCAGCTTCGCTACAGGTCGAGTTTCGCGTTCAGCATCAACCGACGCAATAAGCGAAGCAGCTTTGCGTCTGAGGGGGGACATCGACATCTGCAACATCATCACCTTCATCAACTACGAACCCGACGAGAAACTGTACCGTCTGTTGGTGGACTGTGTGGATGTCACGCGGCTCGACGGCGCTGTAGGCGTTCACGAGGCTGGGGGAATGGTGGAGGTCAAGCACAGTCGGTCAAGGGACATTCAACTCAAGAACAAAGCAAAGATTTCGATTGATCACGATCTCTCGGTTGTTAATAGCAAACGGAACAACATATATGTCTTTCAGTATTGCACATCTCAGAACAACCACGTGACTATTCCGTTCCAAATCGATGACATGGGCGGAGTGAACATCCGGTTTTCTTGGGGTGGTTATGATCATAGAGTGTATTTTCGGGTTAACAAGAAAACTCTTGAACGCTTCTGTAGTAGTGATCCTACTGTGGTTAGAAGGACCCCAGTCAGGCAACCAAGAGGCAAGGCTGTCCATGGAAGAGGTAATGCTTACCATGTGTCAAACAAAGTTGGTTGGTTGGTTTGTTGTTTAACCCCGAAATCAGCAATATTCCAGCTATATGATGGCGGTCTGTAAATAATCGAGTGTGGACCAGACAATCCAGTAATTAATATCATGAGCATCGATCCACGCAATTTGGACCGATGACATGCATCAACCAAGTCAGCGAGCCTGACCACCCGATCCCGTTAGTCGCCTCTTACGACAAGCATAGTCGCCTTTTACGACAAGCATGGGCTGCTGAAGACCTATTCTACCCCGGGTCTTCACGGGTCGTTTCAAACAAAGAGTTGACATCACATTTATACGTTTTAAAGGACATGTATTATTCTGTGCACAGCAAGTACCTGTGATCGAACTAGGAGATAAGGGACCAACCATGTGATATTCTGTGAGGGGTTAATGGTTTGGGGTATGGCTCGGATTTCGTATCGGAGACAAGATTGTTTTCAGCAACATGTGCAAAAAACCAGATATGTTTTTAATTAAATCTTGACTTAATATTTTTCAAGAGTTTGAAGCAAAATTAGTTTAGAAGCACTTCCCGGGACAATGTATTTTCTGGGATCAAAATAAAAAAATAGGTGGGGCAGGATACGCTCACCTTTTTGTAAGAACCTGGTATGATTACTATTTGATATGCTCACATGCTTATGATATTGTCGGGCTTGTACAACTGACTCTGCTTTATGCAGAGATTTCTATTGGATATGGAAAGGGTTTTGTCGCTTTGTTATCATTATAATTATGATTATGATTATTATTATGATGATGAAAACGGTCTCTGTCCTTTACATGTACGTTGATGTACCCATTAATGATACTCAGTTCGCTGATGTTCCATTTTTTTCAGCATCAAAGGTTTTGACGGAGAAGAGCATGGATGCCCTCGGCAAGAGCCTTCCCATGAGCGAATGGCATGGCATTGGGCTTCAACTCAGTCTAAACCATGACGGCATGCTAGCTCTACTAGATGGCCACAAAAATATATGTACACCAGGTTTTCTAATCCTGAAAGATTGGTTCCAAAAGAATGGTACAAAATCCGAAGAACAACTCCTAAATGAATTGACATCTGCCTTGGAGGAGGTTGGAAGGGTCGACATCGCCGAAGTTGTCACGAATGTCCGAAGAGAGAACAGAGAGATACGACGATCTGATTTTGATGGTCGATATCAACCCAGAGAGGACAGTGTCTGTACTGACGATAGCACCGCTGAGGAAGTTGGTCAAGATGAAACTGGTGCCAGTAGTTCACAGACATTTGAGGTCACACGAAAGATGTCCCAGGACTCCTTCGATAGTGGCGTGTCTGAAGATGGCCCCTTGTCCAGACCACAGATTGAGGACCACATCTGTGATTTACCATCAAGAAGGGCTTCAACTGGAGTTGTTAGGTCCAAATCAACTTCTTTCATCTTTCCAGTTGATCTTCAATAACTGTGCGGACCTTAGAGTTTGCCAAGTATGTCTGGCAAACACTTTAAGGCTGTGTTGGTCATGGACTTGGCAAAGTCAAGCACACATTTTCCTTTCTTCGGAGATAAATCCCCATTATAGATTTGCACAGTATCCTCTTGTATGCGTCGATGCAAAAAGAAGGGCTGGGTTTTGTTGAAAAAAAGCTGTGAATATGATATTATCTGAACATGGTATGATTGTGTACATAGAAAAAAGTTCCCTAACACACTCTGTTTTTGGCCTCGTATGTGGCCTAATACGGGAGATGAATATCTGGAAAAATGACGGACATCTGATTCGTTACATCGACTAGTCGTGGGCACATTCACCGAATGGAAAGAGAACTTAGGTATCACCAACCTACATTTGAGCTTTTTTGTTCAGAGCTAGACAAAGGTGTAAACCAACAGGAGACTCTAAAAATACTTGTGCACCCGGCCCAACAACACTGTATGCAAGGGGGCACCGTTGGTCCAGTCGTCTAAGGCGCCGCTATTCGATGTGCAGAGTTGTGTCCCTTTGGCACACCAGAAACCTATGATTGTGGGTTCGAATCCCAGTTCTCTCCGATTATGATTCTAGGTTTGTCAGCACCATACCCGTGCTCGTGAGTTTCACCGAAGAGGTAAACGTCTGGGACCTGCATTTCTTCGGGCTTTCCTCCAACATTAAGCTGACACGCCGTGACATAACTGGAATACTGTTAAAAGCGGCGTTAAACACAACTCACTCACTCACTCACTCACTCTCTCACTCACTGTATGCAAATTTACTCAGGTGTGTTTTTGCAACATTGACATGACCAAAATACTCACATGTATACTTATTGCACATGTGTAATTTATTCACACGTAAGGACATAAGAGAAAACCGGTAAATATAGTGATGACTTGGGTCTCAAAAAAATTTAATTTTTGACGGACGTTAATCAGGACCTGGCAGTACATAATTTCCTTCCTATATTTATACCTGGGATAAAACTACAGTAACTGACACCTATCTGATACCCGGTGTAAATCAGAAAACTGGTAATGATTTAAGTTGCTGGGTCCGGAGTAAGGCAAAAAACAAACACTTACTTTTTTTATGAAAAGTGTGTCAGTGGTTAGTGCTAATGGTAGAGCAGGTCATGCTTACCCCTTCCGCGAAAATTGTTTGATCAAGATTACAACATTCGAGGCCTCGGGAAAGTTTTCAAAAAGGTGTATTGTGGACATGGGATGACATTTCCAAGTTTGACGCATCAGTAAACCCAAATGTCCGATACAATTCCCTGTATTAACTTGTAACAAATGTTCCCGTGTTACTTATGTAAAATTTGACTTGCCTTTGCATGTGTTTGTGACTACCTTTTCGCTATTGGATTGTGTTTCGTCAACACATACTCATGATATAGTCGGAATCGTACAATGGACTCGGCTTTTAGCTCAGTTTTCTCATGATTATGGAAATGTGGCGTGTTTTTCTTCTTCTTTTTTCAGCTATTCACGACAACGTTTTCCTTGGCTACATGCATACATGATTTATACATTATTTCATGTACATGATCTGCTCAAAATGTTTTCGTTTTAATATATGAACAAGAGTGAATGCGTTGTGTTTTACGCATTTAGCAACGTTTCACCAATATGACGGCGGGAGACACCATTCTTGGGTTTCACATATACCCCTCATGTGGGGACTCGAACCCGGGCCTTCGGCGGGAAAAACGAACGCTTCCTCCACTGGGCTGCCAGACCGCCAAATGAAGATGTGTTTTACAACATATCACAGATCGTAATTAACCTCAGGAATATATGAACACCTTGCGTGCTGTGGAAGGGTATGTTACACACACATAGATACTATCACGCATGCTTGTCATGATCACGAGCGACAGTATGTTGTGAACTGGGTCGAGAGCTATAGCAGCTGCACTCGCGAATCCCTCCTTAACGGTGACATAGTATTGCCTGAACCGTCTCTCAGCTAGCCCGGCAAATAAAATACGGCTGTAAATATCAATTGTGTGTAATCTTCATTCCGTGAACGAAAATACGCTTCGACACTAGGGTTGCAACGGTTCGGTTCGGTGCACCGAGAACCGGTATTTGTCGTGTCGATTCGATCTTCGATCTACAATGTCCAGATTTCGATTCGGTTCATGAGGTGCCCAGCCTAGAGTCTGACCCACTGAGTTGGTGGAGGGTGAGAGAGGGAAAGTATCCCTTGTTGTCAAAATATGCCAAACAGTGCCTTGGCACACCTGCCACAAGTGTGGCTAGTGAGAGGGCCTTTTCAACAGCCGGGGATGTTGTGACTGCTCAGAGGGCTTCCCTCAGTAGTGACAATGTGGACATGCTTGTGTTTTTATCCAAAAACATGATCATCCCTGATGACCTGATTGACCTCACAGTCTGAGGTGAAGAGTTTGTCCTGTTGGTGCACAGTGTTGCACTGTTCAAAAAAAAGGTTAAAGTAAATACATGTTTTGTTACTTATTTATGCATATTATACATGAACCATTGTTTATTATTAGACTAATGAATCGAATCGAAAATAATCGAATCGAATGGAAATAATCGAGCATCGAACCGAATCGAAGTATTGGTGAACTGTTGCAGCCCTATTCGACACTGCAGCTCACTTTGTTATATCTAAATAAATATACTATCAGCAATAACAGCTACTTTACTCTGTCATCATCAGCATACATTCTTGGATCAGGTGACCGCCTCCGTGGTCTTGTGGTAGAGCGTCCGCCCGGAGAGCGGAAGGTCCAGGGTTCGATCCCGGGCCGCGTCATACAAAAAGACGTTAAAAGATTGTACTTGTTGTTACCCTGTCTGGCGCTCGGCATTAAGGGGCTAAAACAAGGACTGGTCGGCTCGGAGCCAGTATACTGTGTCTGAGTGGGGTATTCATGTTAAACTGCGGCATGGTATCTCAGTGAGCTAGCACTATAAATCGGCATCAGTCTGGACTAGTACAAGCAGCCACACACACACATACACGTGCATGCACGTCGCTATATAAGTGCAATAATCTTGGACGCGACGTTAAATCAAATTTCACCTCACCTTGGATCAGGTAAGCATTATTCCACGAGGGACGCGTACTTGATATGAAATGGAATGCTCTTTTAACATGCTGTTATTATGATACGTAACGCTAGCCTTACTTTACGTTTGATATAAGCTTAATACGAACTGGGAACGGGTTCTGTATTATATTTATTACCAACGAATATTTTTGAATGAGTTACCTCCAAAATTACGATATGTCTGTGTGTCCTATAATGAGAGAAAATGTGTGAATATAACATGTCCAAAACGTAAACACAGAGCAGAATCACTTTAGGTGCAGAGACTAGATATTTTTGTCATCTACAGATGATAATAAATAAATATTGTTTTTACATTAAAACTATAAGCCTAAATATTTTCATTTTTCAAAAAGCCTCTTGCAACAATGCATTTTTATGGCAAGCAATTTGTTTTCGTTTTCAACAGTTTGAAGCATAAAAACATAAATCCCGGGACAATTTAATTAAAAGTTAATTTGATTTAATATTAATTTAAATAAATTCATAAAATACCAGTATGTTATAACTATGATACCAAAAAACATCACCATCGAATAACCATTACTTGTTTGTTTCAATTTTAGCCACAAACAAGCATGGGTGTATACTTTCTTTTGCCCTGCATAAATCTTCAAAATGCTCATCTATTCAATTTAAGCCCTACAAGACAGTAGGTCAATACACGTCTATTTTATTTAGTTTACATCCATGGTCAAGGGCCTGATTAGTTCTCTTTGTGCGGCCCTTTTCTACCTGTTCATCAGACAGCAGGTGATTTTACATGGAATTTACATATATCTAGATCTAGAATTGCAATTTCCGAATGAAACGTGTATGTCATTTATGAGACATTATATTTCTATGTAAATGCATCATGTATACACGTATATCCGGAAATTCCATATGGGAAAGACGGCGTTATTAACTTATTATACTCAAATACTCAATAAAGAGCCGCAAATCGTATCACACATGATGTACATCTCCTAAATAAAAGAAACACATTCTTGTTTTCATTTGAATAAGTAGTACAACGTGAGTGCAGTTATGACAACATGACGTCATGAGATTATGACGACATTCAAAAGGACGTCATTTGGATATAGAGCCAATTTTCCAGATATCAATTTGTGGCAAGATACAAAAGAGCTTACCAGACACGACACGTTTCCATTGGGAAGATACGGGGAGTCCGATACCAGCCCTGTTATTTGTACAGATACATTTAGTGTTAAAGGATACTTGCTTTTACGGGACACAATGTGTCAGCTAGAGAAGTTAAATGACACACTGGGTAAATCAGCGTAACAAGTTGACAAGAGACACAATGGCGTAAGACCTCAAATCCCAGTATCAAAAAGTAATTTACACACACAACCTATCACGCATTGGGGTTTTCTGACAATACCACTTGTTAATCACCCAGTAACGAAAGAGGACGTACAACTCAACCTACTGAAGTAACCACTGATCAAATATGTTATCTTGGTCTTTAAAATAGGCTGTATAACAACTGGGTAATGTATGTTAGCATGGGTTCGAAATAAGGGAGAGCTGTATAAGACATTTGGAACATACGTAACAATTGGTCGCTTGAGGATTTCAACATTTCTTCCTTATCTTCAAGCCTCGTAAGTAAGTAATTGCTGTGAAATGATGATACCTATATTTGCTGTATATTGACTGCATTTATAATGGACTTGCATCAGATACATGTTGATTGTGACAATCCGTTACGTGAGGATTATTTCGTCATAGTTTTATACTCGAGCAGGTGCTTTGAGGACACCGATGGTAAGTTTCGCTGCTGTTTTATGCTGTACAGTATCGATAGGATAGTGCGCCTTGGCCCCGTTGCACAAAACGATCTTAAAGCTACGACTGTCGTAAGCCTATGTTAAAGTATGGGAGTTACGATCACCTCAGTGCTATGATTACTTTGTGCAACGGGGCCCTGTTCATTAACGTTTACGGTGCATCGTGAGTATTGCCTCTCGGATTTATGGCTCCGTTTTTCATTGACTTATTGACCTATAGACTTATTGGTTTATTTATTCTTTTGTCAGAAATAGGAATAGGAATTCTACCATGATAATACTCGATTCTTATTGGTGTTAGAGGTTTCAAATGACAATGAACATTTCAAACAGTTGATTTGACACCCAAGTCGTCGCCGAGGCCTACATTAATGAAGGGGTTGTTCTTGTCAGCTGAGTGGTTAAAGCGTTCGCTTGACACTTGTGCTTGAGTTTGGTGACTTGGCTGATTGTGTGTCATCATACTTATGAGATGGTTCGTTGCTCATGTATTCAGAGTATGGCTTGACCGGAATCTGGCATGATATAGCTGAAAAAATGCTCACTCACTCACTCACTCACTCACTCACTCACTCACACAGCACGCACGCACTCAACCACTCAACCACTCACTCAACCACAAGGGGGCACGGGTGGCCCAGTCGTCTAAGGCGCCGCGATTCGATGTGCAAAGTTGCGTCCCTTAGGCACGCCAGAAACCTATGATTCTGGGTTCGAATCCCAGTTCGCCCCGATTATGATTCTAGGTTTGTCAGTACCACCCCCGAGCTCGTGAGTTTCACCGAAGAGGTAACCGTCACTTCGGGCTTGCCTTCCACATTAAGCTGACACGCCGTGATATGACTGGAATACTGTTAAAAGCAGCGTTAATCCCAACTCACTCACTCACTAACTCACTCACTCACTCAACCACAGGTCTTTTCCTCAAAGCTCATGACAGGTGACAGACGTTAATGCATTATCCTGATGATAATTTGCATATCGTGTTGACATCATTATTATCACACTGATAACGTGCTTGTTATGTTGACAAAATATTTATCTTTGGTCTCTTTGACAGAATCTCGCTTGTGCCCGAAGAAGACCCAGCCTGATTCCAGGAGATCCAGCCTGATTCCAGAAGATCTAGCCTGATTCTAGAAGATCTTGCCTGATTCTAGAAGATCTAGCCTGATTCCAGAAGATCTAGCCTGGTTCTAGAAGATCCAGCCTGGTTCCAGAAGATCTAGCCTGGTTCCAGAAGATCTAGCCTGGTTCCAGAACATCCAGCCTGTTCCAGAAGCCCCTACCATGTCAAATGAAGAGTAAGTAATATGCCCACCTTTGTCAGTTAACTGATTATGGCCCAACATATCGTGAAGAACCTGCTACCAATTTAGAACTTTAACATCCTTATAGATACGGTCGAAGCATATACCAAAAGATGGGCCAAGAAAGAAGATTGATGAACTTGTTGAATGTTTTTCAGAGTGCACAACTGAAAAAGAGAAAACAAAATTGGACTACATCCATCTAATATGTAAACATCACTACATTAATTGTTTGGTAAAGAAAACTGGTATCACTGACATATCAAATAATGCCACATATAAGGCCAGTGAGAAATCTGCTAAAACTGCGCATTACTTGTACTATTGTACTATTAACTTTTGACTTTTGACTTGACTCTAAAACCCGAAGACATGTCCATTCCTCTTATGTACTCCATACACATCCGTACGTAAAGAGGTATATAGCTAGGTCCTGCAAATGTGCACATCCCTGTATAATAATAAATATGGTAAGGACTTCCTTTATTTCACTGATTTTCATTGATCCATTCAAATCATGTTCACTATTTTGCCTTTTACGACCAATGGAATCTGTTTCGGCAGATAATCTGGCGTTGAATAAATACCATTTGGATTTTCAAAAACACAAAGGAATTGTTGATTTTCTTGAGTAATCTCAGTAAAGAACCAGGTTTAGTTAAATATCAAATATCAACCATGAGCACAAATATCACTAAGAACAAATATCAACCATGAGCACAAATATCACTAAGAACAAATATCAACCATGAGCACAAATATCACTAAGAACAAATATCAACCATGAGCACAAATATCACTATTAACAAATATCAACCATGACCACAAATATCACTAAGAACAAATATCAACCATGAGCACAAATATCACTAACAACAAATATCAACCATGAACACAAAAATCACTATTAACAAATATCAACCATGAACATAATTATCAAATAAGAAACCCCTAAAAAAACAAAACAAATATCAACCATGACCACAAATATCACTATTATCAAATATCAACCATGAGCACAAATATCACTATTATCAAATATCAACCATGAACACAAATTCACGATTAACAAATATCAATCATGAGCACAAATATCACGATTAACAAATATCAACCATGAACACAAATATCACTAACAACAAATATCAATCATGAACACAAATATCACTAACAACAAATATCAACCATGAGCACAAATATCACTAAAAACAAATATCAACCATGAGCACAAATATCAATAAGAACAAATATCAACCATGAGCATAAATATCACTAAGAACAAATATCAACCATGAGCACAAATATCACTATTAACAAATATCAACCATGAGCACAAATATCACTATTATCAAATATCAACCATGAACACAAATTCACGATTAACAAATATCAACCATGAACACAAATATGAACCATGAACACAAATATCACTACCAACAAATATCAACCATGAACACAAATATCACTAAGAACAAAGATCAACCATGAGCACAAATATCACTAAGAACAAATATCAACCATGAGCATAAATATCACTAAGAACAAATATCAACCATGAACACAAATTCACGATTAACAAATATGAACCATGAACACAAATATCAACCATGAACACAAATATCACTATTATCAAATATCAACCATGAACACAAATATCACTAAGAACAAATATCAACCATGAGCACAAATATCACTATTAACAAATATCAACCATGAACACAAATATCACTATTATCAAATATCAACCATGAGCACAAATATCACTATTATCAAATATCAACCATGAACACAAATTCAAGATTAACAAATATCAACCATGAACACAAATATCAACCATGAACACAAATATCACTATTATCAAATATCAACCATGAACACAAATTCACGATTAACAAATATCAACCATGAACACAAATATGAACCATGAACACAAATATCACTAACAACAAATATCAACCATGAACACAAATATCACTAACAACAAATATCAACCATGAGCACAAATATCACTAAGAACAAATATCAACCATGAGCACAAATATCACTAAGAACAAATATCAACCATGAGCATAAATATCACTAAGAACAAATATCAACAATGAGCACAAATATGACCATTAACAAATATCAACCATGAACACAAATATCACTATTATCAAATATCAACCATGAGCACAAATATCACTTTTATCAAATATCAACCATGAACACAAATTCACGATTAACAAATATCAACCATGAACACAAACATCAACCATGAACACAAATATCACTATTAACAAATATCAACCATGAACACAAATATCACTATTATCAAATATCAACCATGAGCACAAATATCACTATTATCAAATATCAACCATGAACACAAATTCAAGATTAACAAATATCAACCATGAACACAAATATCAACCATGAACACAAATATCACTATTATCAAATATCAACCATGAACACAAATTCACGATTAACAAATATCAACCATGAACACAAATATGAACCATGAACACAAATATCACTAACAACAAATATCAACCATGAACACAAATATCACTAACAACAAATATCAACCATGAGCACAAATATCACTAAGAACAAATATCAACCATGAGCACAAATATCACTAAGAACAAATATCAACCATGAGCATAAATATCACTAAGAACAAATATCAACAATGAGCACAAATATCACCATTAACAAATATCAACCATGAACACAAATATCACTATTATCAAATATCAACCATGAGCACAAATATCACTTTTATCAAATATCAACCATGAACACAAATTCACGATTAACAAATATCAACCATGAACACAAACATCAACCATGAACACAAATATCACTATTAACAAGTATCAACCATGAACATAATTATCAAATAGGAAACCCCTAAAAAAACAACACAAATATCAACCATGAACACAAATATCACGATTAACAAATATCAATCATGAGCACAAATATCACTAACAACAAATATCAACCATGAACACAAATATCACTAACAACAAATATCAACCATGAGCACAAATATCACTAAGAACAAATGTCAACCATGAGCACAAATATCACAAAGAACAAATATCAACCATGAGCACAAATATCACTATTAACAAATATCAACCATGAGCACAAATATCACCATTAACAAATATCAATCATGAGCACAAATATCACTAACAACAAATGTCAACCATGAGCACAAATATCACTAAGAACAAATATCAACCATGAGCACAAATATCACTATTAACAAATATCAACCATGAGCACAAATATCACTATTAACAAATATCAACCATGACCACAAATATCACTAAGAACAAATATCCACCATGACCACAAATATCACTAAGAACAAATATCAACCATGAGCACAAATATCACTATAATCAAATATGAACCATGAGCACAAATATCACTATTATCAAATATCAACCATGAACACAAATATCACTAAGAACAAATATCAACCATGAGCACAAATATCACTATTAACAAATATCAACCATGACCACGAATATCACTATTATCAAATATCAACCATGAGCATAAAAATTACTAAGAACAAATATCAACCATGAGCACAAATATCACTATTAACAAATATGAACCATGACCACAAATATCACTATTATCAAATATCAACCATGAGCACAAATATCACTATTATCAAATATCAACCATGAACACAAATTCACGATTAACAAATATCAACCATGAACACAAATATCACGATTAACAAATATCAATCATGAGCACAAATATCACTAACAACAACTATCAACCATGAACACAAATATCACTAACAACAAATATCAACCATGAACACAATTATCACTAACAGCAAATATCAACCATGAACACAAATATCACTATTATCAAATATCAACCATGAACACAAATATCACTAACAACAAATATCAACCATGAACACAAATATCACTAACAACAAATATCAACCATGAACACAATTATCACTAACAACAAATATCAACCATGAACACAAATATCACTATTATCAAATATCAACCATGAACACAATTATCACTAACAACAAATATCAACCATGAACACAAATATCACTAACAACAAATATCAACCATGAACACAAATATCACTATTATCAAATATCAACCATGAACACAAATATCACTAACAACAAATATCAACCATGAACACAAATATAACTATTATCAAATATCAATCATGAGCACAAATATCACTATTATCAAATATCAACCATGAACACAAATATCAACCATGAACACAAATTCACTATTAACAAATATGAACCATGAACACAAATATCGCAAAACAACAACAAAGATCAACCATGAACACAAATATCACGATTAACAAATATCAATCATGAGCACAAATATCAACCATGAGCACAAATACCACTAAGAACAAATATCAACCATGAGCACAAATATCACTAAGAACAAATATGAACCATGAACAGAAATATCACTAGTATCAAATATTAACCATGAGCACAAATATCACTATTATCAGATATCAACCATGAGCACAAATATCAGTAATATAAAATATCAACCATGAACACAAATGTCAACCATGAACACAAATATAACGAAAAACAAACAAAAAACAACAAATATCAACCATGAACACAAATATCACGATTAACAAATATCAATCATGAGCACAAATATCAACCATGAACACAAATGTCAACCATGAACACAAATATCACTCTTAACAAATATCAACCATTAACACAAATATCAACCATGAGCACAAAATATCTCTATCAACAAATATCAACTATGAACACACATGTCACTATCAACAAAGATCAACCATGCACACAAAAATCAACCATGAGCACACTGACTACTGTCTTGCATTCTCTTTATTTTTCAGAGATGTGACGAAATTAGACCTGATTGATAAGACCGAGGAAAAGCAAGGTTTGTTCTCTCAGTTCAAAGAACGCTTGAAAACTATCCTCGGTCTCCCAACACAAAGAAAGGACCCTAACGTTGACGTGAAGGTTCTCCACTCCGCGGAACGCGACGAGTGCTTGGATCAGCTGGGACTCCACCAGGATCAGCTGTTGGTGTCCGATGTGTACAGGGTTGTCCAGAGTCTCCAGACTCTGCCTCCAGATGGGGAGCTGATTGTTCCCCTGGAGATGCCAGAACGATCCATTCCACCCCAGGTGTTATACACGTTTACGTACTGTATGAAGGTTGGCGGACAATGGCACCTGGAACCGGCAGAATACAAGGTTTGTATGCCCCGGTTTGCAATTCTATAGCCCTGAAACATGTATTGTATTCCGATGTGTGAAGTCCTTCTTCAAAGCTTGGCTAAAACCATTGAACAGGTTGCTCAAAACACAGACGCTTGTCTCAATAAATCTTTCAAGAAAAATATTGGATTCGCTTTGACAAATACAAGCATTGCGAGCTCACTATAATTTAAATGTTACAATAAATTTCGGAATAGCTGTATGCTTTTCAACGTGGGACTTTTATTCATGGCGAACAGATAACCTATCATTCCAAAATGCGATAATACCCGATGCTGTACCCTGTTACCAATTGTCTTTTTTTACCGTACTATAATGTAGACAAATGTCAGTTTAAGATCACATAAAGAGACAAAGGCCATGCCAACCTATTGTTGGAATGACACATAAAAACTGACGTTATAAACAATGAATGACGTCATCTCCAAATGGACATTAAAAGAGACTTAATATTGATGTGGCAACACGTAGCTATTAATTAAAACAATAAACAATAAGCTTGAAACAACAGTATTTCCTCAGTGATACTTTTGTTCACCCTCATGGGTAATATATGAATGTGAGTGAGATATATTTTAACGCCGCTTTTAACAGTATTTCAGTTATGTCACGGCGTGTCAGCTTAATGTTGGAGGAAAGTCCGAAGTGATGCAGGTCTCAGACGTTTACCACTTCGGTGAAACCCACGAGCATGGGTATGGTGCTGACAAACCTAGGAACATAATCAGGGCGAACCGGGATTCGAACCCACAATCATAGGTTTCTGGCATGCCAAAGGGACGCAACTCTGCACAGCGAATTGCGGCGCCTTAGACGACTGGGCCACCCATGACCCCATGTATAAATGTGGTATTATATGTTTTCATGTGAATTACTACGGATACATTTGCTGAACTGTCGCAAATGAAGAAGTGAAGACGCCCCAACTTTTAGACATGCTTATCTAGTTCTTATCGGTTGAACATGATGACAGTATAATCTTTGATATATCAGTGATCAGGGAAAGAAGTGTTTCTACACATTATATATTATGGTATTCGCACTTGCAGGAAGGCGGCTGTGTATATGGCAAACTGACAGAGATGGACGTGTTTTGTGTGACGGCGGAGTTAAAACCGGAATATGCCACAGTGGGGCCGAAAGGTCACAAGTTTGTCTCTGAGAAGGACGAGAGAATTGCCATTGACTTTCCTGAACATGCTGTTGAAGAAGAAACCATGCTGATAATTGTGGCAAGTGTATTTTGGATCAAACATTCCATCATAACGTTACATTAACAAACCTGACTGTTAAGACGATAAGCAAATTTAACCACGAAAATTGAGTCCACAATATTGACGCAATACTTAATGAAAGATACTTCATTGAAAAGTTGTACTTTATATTGATAAATCAGATAATATCAATAGCAGGGATCACAAAAAAACGTAAATTCTCAAAATGAAAATTTACATAGTGATATTTGGTTAAGCGGGTATATAAAGGTTCCACAGAGTGTATGGTGCATTGTACTTAATGGTATTAATAAGTAAGGATAAGATACAGTGATGAACAACTTCTTTATTGCAAATAGGATCGACGTTTCTGTCCAGGTTCTTACACCGCTATCAAGCCTCTCAAAGAATTTGATAGTGTTAATGATGTAACTAACACTTTTGTTCAGACGGACATCATCGACCAACAACGGTTTGAAGAATATAAGAAGAAGAATGAAGAGTTCCGCTGCATTGTTGGGTTCACTAACATTCTCACAGTCAGCCCATCAGTGGAGCTCCGCGCAGATGCTAAGATACGCCTTCCTGTGGATGCTGAGTTTGAGAAGGGGGATTGCGATGTTATGTTTCTACACTGGAACAATGATGAGGATGAGGGTGAAGATGTTGGGGAGGATGTGACAGTTGTAAATGCTGTTACAGGAGGTGCCAATACCTACATAGCCCCGGTCACCTCATTCAGCAGGTACTCTGAAATCCCGTTTCTTTGTTCGTAGTTAAACGCCGCACTCAACAATACTCAAGCCATATGACGGCGTTCTGGCCCAGACAATTTAGTTTTTGAGCATCGATCTCCGCAAATGACATGCATCAACCAAGCTCACCATCCGATCCCGTTAGTTGCCTCTTACGACAAACACGGGATGCTGAAATCAAATTCTAACCCGGATCGTCACGGGTTCATATTTATTGAAAGATATTGTTGTTTTTGTCAACCCTAAGCTTTACTTTATCAAATAGGGATGTCGTACTCATGTTGAGATGTTTCACACTAATCGAAAATTTATCATATGTTAAAGTTGTCTTTACGTATTTACGACTAAATTATCATGAAGATTTGTATTTCATTTGCCTTAGGTATGCCTGTGTCGCTGTACAGAGAAACATTCCGATTGAAGAGATATCCATAGCGGCCAAACACGCCATCGGGAAGCTGAATCTGTGTGTCCTCCTCACCTTCATTGACTATGATCAACACCGGGGTGTCAACTACCTTCTAGTTGACTGCGTTGAATTCACCAAGGTGGGCCGAGCTGTCGAACTTCACAGAACCGATGGCATGACGGAAGTCAAGCACAGCAGATCAAGGGACATCGAACTCAAAGATAAAACCAAGATTAAAGTTCATCTGGGTGGAGGCATTAAGCGTCATGACAAATCATTTACAACGAATGCTTTTTATTTCAACCGAATGGCAAGAACCAACAAAGTTATTATTCACTTTACTTCCAAAGGAAAAAATGGAAACGTTCGATACTTCTGGGGTCATGACGATCACAAAGTATACTTTCCATTGGAATCAAAAAGAAGCGTTGCTAGGAAATCATCCTCTGTGAAACCCCGACAAATGAGTAGGTCCTATTCCTGCGAGCCTTCTGGAGCAACATCTCTAACCTTCCATGGTACCCCAGGACATTCTCCAGGTAGTATCATATGTTCTCCTTAATGTCTGCTCAAAGTAAATTTCTTTTGACATATTCAATAACTAAGTTAAAGAGCCCCAGGCAAGGGAAAGTAAACACTCATGTTTTATTGTGGCTAAAATAAAATAAAAATAGTTATTCGATGATGATGTATTTAAAAGAGTATCATATTTGTGTTTTGGACCTCAGTTTGATGTTTCGGGGACTGTTTTCAGCCTAGTAACGTTGGTGACGTTTGTAATTTTTAGGGCACATCCAATTTTCAATCGTATTCGTTTTCCTGGCAGTATAAAGTCGTTTCACCACTGAATTACTACATTGATCTTGCAATGCACACTTTATGCACATTAAATCAATGTCCATGTTTGTAGGCGCGGAGATGCATCCAATTCTAACCGACAAAAGTCTTGCAGCGTTTGGGGACATATTACCACATTCAGAATGGAGAAGTGTGGGTCTTGAACTCAACTTTTCGATTGATGCTATTACCTCCATATTTGATAAAGCAGAGAGAATGAAATCCAACCCTGGCTTGGAGCTTCTTACTGAATGGAGAAGGAGAAATAAACTCCGGAATCCAGATGAACTGATAAACGACCTCATAGCTGCATTTGCTGAACTCAAGCGAAACGACATTGTTGGCGTTCTCAATTCAGCACGACAACATTCGCGTCCAATACGAAGAAGTGACCTAGATTGTGGATCTCCGTCCTCAATTCCCCCATTTGGTCCAGAACCAAGCTTTAGTTTTGGACCTTTTTTTTCAAGCAATGAGACATCGGGCGACAGCAGTTCTTTGTCTTCTGCTTAGAGTCAACCTGTTAGCTCCGTCGGCACAGCAGTAGGCTCGTCCGAGACTTTGAAGAGTGAAGATACAGAAATTTTTAAACATGATTTGTAAACGCACTTATTTGCGACGGGACGCACTCTGCATATTTCAGACTGTCATGTATTGGTATGATCGAACGACCTTTGTAGTAGCAGTAGTAGAAGTAGTAGTAGTAGTAGTAGTTGTAGTAGTAGTAGTAGTAGTAGTAGTAGTAGTAGTAGTAGTAGTAGTAGTAGTTCGGGTATGGTGATGACAAACCTAGAAACATAATCGAACCCACAATGATAGGTTTCTGGCGTGCCCAAGGGACGCAACTCTGCAAGCGAATTGCGGCACGGTCCGTACCCCCAGTAGCATTGGTAGGACTTGTGTAGTAGTAGTAGTAGTAGTAGTAGTAGTAGTAGTAGTAGTAGTAGTAGTATAAGTAGTAGTAGTAGATAGTAGTAGTAGTAGTGTTTCTTACTTCCATCTTCTATATTATTTCTGTTAAGAGATCAACTCCGTGTTCTAGTGTTAGAGCGTCCGCCCGGAGAGCGTCATACCAAAAGACGTTACCAAATGGTACTTGTTGTTACCCTGCCTGACGCTCGGCATTAAGGGGCTAAAACAAGTACTGGCCGGTTCGGAGTCAGTATACTGTGTCTGAGTGGGGTATTCATGTTAAACTGCTGCATGGTATCTCAGTGGGCTAGCGCTTTAAATCGGCATCAGTCCGGACTAGTACAAGCAGCCACACACGTGCATGCACGTCGCTATATCATTGCAAAATTCTTGAACGCGAAGTTAAACCCCATTTCACCGCACCTGCTATGTGAAGAAGTGTTGGTACGGGTGCACACATGCATGTACAAGCACCTTACCAGCACCTCGCAGAAAGAATAAACAAGCTGAAATCAGTCAGCCTGTCGTCATAGGTATCACAGCTTCTAACTTCCACTGAAATATAGAATATTCAGTTAAAACATCAATAAATACAACTTCAAACCTTCATTTATGAAAATGTACAAACAAAAAAAGTAATCCCAATGATACACGTTTCTGCTAAATTATAACAATATTTTTTTCTACTTTTTCCATATCAGGACACATTATCCATGACTATGTTTTACTGACCCACATATAAGAGTATATTTTAGATTATATAAAGAGAAAAACCTTGTGCTTTATTAATTTTGTAGTGTTTGGGAAGAATTATACTTGGATGGGGATACAATATGTAAATAATCCAATCTCCATCATGACGAAGAAATCCTTTGAGTGACTGACTTTTGGTTTAATGCTGCTTTTAACAGTATTCCAGTTATATCGCGGCGTGCCAGCTTAATGTGGGAGGAAGCCCGAAGTGATGCAGGTCTCAGACGCTTACCACTTCGGTGAAACCCACGAATGCGGGTATGGTGCTGACAGACTCAGAAACATATTCGGAACCGAGTTTCGAACCCACAGGTTTCTTGGGTGCCCAAGGGCCGCAACTCTGTACTGCGAATTGCGGCGCCTTAGACGACTGGGCCACTCGTGTCATCTTCAAACCCCTTGGTGTTGGTTAAAATACTTGTTACTTGATCATTGGCAATTATGTGAAGTGTTGGGTTCTTCATGGCATTTGTTGTTCCTTTGATGTTTGATGTTTCTTTGAAGTGGGCTGTCACTTGTATTAAAAATTGTTGTCGCTTCTGATTTCAGTAGTAAGCATTAGCCACGGTCGTACTTCGTAATTTGTTAGATATATTATTAAATAGCATTCCATTACGGGAGATTTTTGTTACGTGAGATATATTTTCAGTTTCTTTCAGTTTGAATAAAAGTGTCTATATACGTTTTTGTCTGCAAAGCAGGAACTATTTTCTATGTCGAATGCCACCCATGACTGGCGTGGTTTGGTCCAAAACGGGTTTCAGTTTGAGAACTTCGTTTCAGATTTAAAAACACACAATAACAGCTTGGGTTAAATCAGTAGAATTTGTATGGTGGTTATCAGGGCGCTCATTAACTGATTATGTAATGTTATTAGAATGAATTCGTGAACATCAATTCTAAGCACTCGGTGAGAGAAACAGCGAATTTTTCCACCAACATTGTATATACACCATATAATTGCATCTGCGACTAGTCGCAGGCACTCACTCACTCACTCACTCACTCACTCACTCACTCACTCACTCACTCACTCACTCACTCACAAATAACCGGGGTAGAATAGGTTTACAGCAACCCACACTTGCCGTAAAAGGCGACTATGCTTGCCGTAAAAGGTAACTATGCTTGTCGTAAAAGGCGACTATGTTTGTCGTAAAATGCGACTATGCTTGCCGTAAAAGGTGACTATGCTTGTAGTAAAAGGCGACTATGCTTGTCATAAGAGGCGACTAACGGGATCGGGTGGGCAGGCTCGCTGACTCGGTTGATGCCTGTCATCGTATCCCTATTGCGTGGATCGATGCTCATTATGTCATTCACTAGAATGGCTGGTCCAAACTCGATTATTTACAGACCGCCGTCATATAGCTGGGGTAAACAACAAACAAACAAAACATGCGCCTTGTAACTATCATTGGTATTTGTACACCCTGTCCAAACACCCTGGTTGACAGCTATCTACACAAGGTCACTCACGACATTAAATATAACCCGCTAGGAATAGCGTTCGAATGAACACTTGCATTTCCCAATATTGGACACACGTCAGAAAACGTAGACAGGGGGCGCTTTGATCAGATAGATATTATACAAAGGAAACAAGTATGGTGTTGTTGGCCTGACACTGTCGCTGGCGGGTGTGTCACCATGGTTGGTGGCTATTCAGCGTGAAGAATGCCTTGGGTTTAAAGAGCGTGTCTGTTGCTTTCGCCCATATGTGGAAGCAGTATGTCTGACGCTGACGCAAATCTCGGATATCCAAGGTAGGTTTTTCTACATAGATAAATTATATATGTTACAATATATTTGCTTATGAGTTGTTTAGTTATATATTAAAGTATTTTTTTTCATTTATGGTAAATATGTACTAGGGATATGAAGTTGGGGCTGTGCTTTTGAAAATTGGTAGAAGTAAAAGCGTGGTAATTTATAGTTAGTTCGTAAGTTAGCAGTGTCTTACTTATTCCTAAACGAGATGATACTACCCACTGTCTATTTTCTGGATAAGAAATATAAGATGTACATAAAGTGAGTGAGTGTTGTTTTACGCCGTCTTCAGCTAAATTCCATCAAAATCAGGGAATGGACACCAGAAATGGGCTTTACACATCGTACCCAATGGGGAATAGAACCCGAGCCTTCGGTATGACAACGAACGCGTTATCCACTAGGCTACCCCACTGCCTCAAAGGATACATGAAGGACACCGCACTAGTGTCATACTGAAGATAATGGCAGCCACGATGTTGAAATTCCATACAGTGAAACTGATATTTTAGTGATCTTGGTCATAACCACGTTTTCATTTGTATTTTGATTAGTAAGGTAAAAATGTTGATCCTTGCCGCAACTAGCTGTAATATTGCTGATGTGTACGTGACCAATATTCACCCATATATATCCATTCACTCAAATACTATTGCATCAAGGAAAATGTTTCACAGCTGTTTTGAATTTTACGCCGTATATGATCTGTTTCGGCAGATCGTCGACACTGATTATTCTCTGCCGTTGACGTTATATATTAAACATTGAAATACAGTTTATGTTTTATATATAAAGACATGTTAGTCCTAATTCATACATATATAAAGATATATTAGTCTTAATTCATACACATGTCCATTGCTGGTGTCCCCCGCCGTGATATTGCTGGAATATTGCTAAAAGCGGCGTAAACCCATACTCACTCACTCATACATATGTCACAAATATAACGTACACCCACCTCGGTGTTTTGCATGTGTCTCCTACCCCACGTGATTCGCTAGGATGGGTAACATGAGTAAGGTAATTTAATACGCCACGAATGATGTACATATACTTTGTATGTGAATCTATAGAATGCGCATAGTGAAATATATTTAACATCGGAGTATGAATCTGAAAACTAAACCATAGTTTGTTTGTTGTTTAACGTCGCACCCAGCAATATTCCAACTCAATGGCGGCGGTCTGTAAATAATCGAGTCTGGACCAGACAATCCAGTGATTAATACGATGGGCATCGATCCCCGCAATTGGGATACGATCACATGCATCAAACCAAGTCAGCGAGACGTACTACCGGATCCTGTTAGTTGCCTATTACGACAAGCATCGGATGCTGAAACCAATGCTAACCCGCATCTCCACGGGCGTAAATCTTAGTAAATCGGACTCGTGAGAATTTAGTTATTAAACCATTATAGCATCCGATTTATGTGTTAAGATGATTTGTTCACTCATTTGCATAATTCTCATTTGAACAGGTATGGGTTTTTCGCGCCTTTGGTATAAATGATTTGTTATGTCGTTCCAGCGATGTGACCTTTGATCTTGCTGCAGAAGGAGATGACACACCATCAGAAACTGACGATGACATCAGACAGGCAAATATTTACATACTCAAACACTCATTTTACTTAAGTTATATACTACTCAAAAAGGTTCAAGAACCACCAATCTTCTCATGGCATAACAGATTAACTACAGTAATATGAAGGAATCGGGTGGTCCTTAATATTTTTTGAGTAGTATAATATAGGAGGAAGTATTTTACAGGTTTTTAGGGCCAACTGATATTGGCCCATTTGAAAGTTAAAGAAACCTTTGAAAATTTGTAAGGAAAGTTATTCGAATGACTGACAACTTGCATTTTACCTAAATGAGCTTTTAGATTTGCACATCATATCAACATTCAGCTATACAGGGTTATGCAATGTTGTGTTATCAAACAAAAAACTAGTTTGTAGAAAACAAAATGGTGCAACAACGAACTTAACTGCCGGGCAAAGAAAGTCTGCGATTAAAAATTGGATGTGACCCCAAAATTACAAACGTTACAAGTCTGAAAACAGGTCTTAAAACACAAGTATCATACCCGTATCAAATACATCACCATCCATAAAAGGTGACTCTGCTTGCCGTAAAAGGTGACTCTGCTTGTCGTAAAAGGTGACTCTGCTTGCCGTAAAAGGTGACTCTGCTTGTCGTAAAAGGCGACTAACGGGATCGGGGGGTCAGGCTCGCTGACTTGGTTGATGCATGTCATCGATTCCAATTGTGTGGATCGATGCTCATGAAATTAATCACTTGATTGTCTTGTCCAGACTCGATTATTCACAGACCGTCGTCATATAGCTGGAATATTGCTGAGTGCGGCGTTAAACAACAAATCAACCCAACATCACCATCGAATAGCCTTTTGTTGTTTGTTTCATTTTAGCCACCATCGAACATGGGTGTATACTTTTTCTTTGCGCGGCATTTTATTTGTACCTAAATACCTGACCATCTTTCATTTTTTATTATTTTTATTTTTATTCATTTTTTGTCGAGCTAGTGAGCATGGGTATAGTGCTGACATAAGTATTATGATTGTGGCGAATAACTCACTAATTGGGGCTGCTAATGTTTGAACATTAATCAGCTGCGGCATAAGTCTGTACAGTGTGTTCAAACAGTTTGGGCCAACCAATACACTTAAATATATTTATTAACATCTGATTAAGACAAACTTCGTATTAATTGTCCATCCGCAACATAAATGATCGTAGTTTGCGCATGCGTGTACAGGAGATGAATCTCGGGGAGCACCAGTTGCTGGTGTCCAAGATCTACAAGATGCGGTGGAGCGAGGATGTTGACGACCCCCACGCTGATATTGTCGTCCCCGTTGACGTACCCGAGAGATGCAGGACAGGCTGTTCCTTCTGGTTGTGGCTTAAATATGATGGCTGTTGGCACAAGACACCAACTGACGCTCCGGTAAACACACCGAAATTACAGTAAACTACGGTTATAACGAACACGCTTATAACGAACTGACGGATATAACGAACTTACTTTTTTGGTCCAGACTATTTGCTGTATTATGCTGTATATATGCTTATAACGAACTACTGTTATAACGAACTAAAATTAGTAGTCCCTTTGAGTTCGTTTTAACCGTACTTTACTGTATGTCTGAACTCGAGCCAGTGATCCAGACTCGATTGATTGCCTACGTATGACAGGAGTATTGATGGTTGGGGCGTTAAACAAGAAATAAACACGTATTGTTTATGTAAATTGTGAGTGGCGGGTGCCATCGGTCGGGAAGTTCATGCCTTCCCATTGCGCGAACACCTGGTGTCATCACTGATTTTCAGTGATCCATTCATATAATCATCACTATGTTGCATGTTACGCCTAATGAAATCTGTAACTGATACTGATTATTCTCTGGCGTTGATGTTTGAAGTAGAATATGAGTCATTGGCTTAAAGCCACATATGACTGATGGTCTGCATGTACCATGTATGTGGTCAGAAAATAGTATATATTTGTTTCCTCTAATATAACGCTGGTTTTACTGTAGCTACCTTGCATCGGGTAATGTGAGTGGTGGGTATACGTTATATTTGTGATATATGTATGAGCGAGTGAGTAGGGTTTTACGCCGCTTTTAGCAACATTCCAGCAATATCTCGGCGGGGGACACCAGAAATGGGCTTCACACATTGTACCCATGTCGGGAATCGAACCCGGGTCTTCGGCGTTACGATCGAGCGCTTTAACCACTAGGCTACCCACCGCCCTCGGGTAATGTACATGTACTACCTGTATATTGATACATTAATCAACTGAATGAACGTTGGCATTTGTGTGAAGCAATATGTGCTGGTGCCTTATTGATGATCTGAAACAAATCATGAGAAAATATTAAGGTATAGTTTAATAAATACATTATCCCAAATGGATGTAATATTTCTTTCTTTACGACAATATTTTTCGGGATCAGACAGGAGAAATATTTACTCAAAGGTGAGTAAGTGAATGGGTGAGTATGGTTTTACGCTGCTGTTGGCAATATTCCAGCAATATTACGGCGGAGGACACCTGGAATAGGCTTCACACATTGTACCCGATCGGGAATCGGGTCGCATCTTCGGCGTGACGAGTGAACGCTTTAACCACTAGGCTAGCCCACCGCCATACTCAAAGGTAAAAGTACTGTGAATTTGTTTCGCTGTTTGTTTTGCTTTTTATAATGTGTACATCTTTGAAGTTATACGTGCATGCACGTCGCTGTATAAGAAGATAGTAGCCACTCACGATGGATCTAGGTTCAGGTGGAGGGAAAGATCCACGGTAACAATTCCTTTGTGTATACCTGTACGTGAAGATGGTAGCCACTCACGATGGATCTATTTTCAGGTGGATGGAAAGATCCACGGTAACGTTTCCTTTGTGTATACCTGTACGTAAAGATAGTAGCCACTCACGATGGATCTATGTTCAGGTGGAGGGAAAGATCCACGGTAAGGTTTCCTTTGTGTATACCTGTACGTGAAGATAGTAGCCACTCACGATGGATCTATGTTCAGGTGGAGGGAAAGATCTACGGTAACAATTCCTTTGTGTATACCTGTACGTGAAGATGGTAGCCACTAACGATGGATCTATGTTCAGGTGGATGGAAAGATCCACGGTAACATTTCCTTTGTGTATACCTGTACGTGAAGATGGTAGCCACTCACGATGGATCTATGTTCAGGTGGAGGGAAAGATCCACGGTAACAATTCCTTTGTGTATACCTGTACGTGAAGATGGTAGCCACTAACGATGGATCTATGTTCAGGTGGATGGAAAGATCCACGGTAACATTTCCTTTGTGTATACCTGAACGTGAAGATGGTAGCCACTCACGATGGATCTATGTTCAGGTGGAGGGAAAGATCCACGGTAACAATTCCTTTGTGTATACCTGTACGTGAAGATGGTAGCCACTCACGATGGATCTATGTTCAGGTGGAGGGAAAGATCCACGGTAAGGTTTCCTTTGTTTATACCTGTACGTGAAGATAGTAGCCACTAACGATGGGTCTATGTTCAGGTGGAGGGAAAGATCCACGGTAAGGTTTCCTTTGTGTATACCTGTACGTGAAGATAGTAGCCACTAACGATGGATTCATGTTCAGGTGGATGGAAAGATCCACGGTAAGGTGAAGAAGATTGATGCTTTTGGTGTGGTGGCTGAGAACCCCCAATCTGGAGCTGCCTCTGTGGAAAGTAAGAGGATTGGTCCTGAAGGAGGGAAGTTTGTCTCCCAGACCGACGGCCGCATCACTGTATATTTCCCCGAGGGAGCAGTGGACAAAGACACAGACTTCCAGTTTAAGGTAGTTCTATGCATTAGTTTATGTATGCGCATCACTGTATATTTCCCCGAGGGAGCAGTGGACAAACCAGAGACTTCCAGTTTAAGGTAGTTCTATGCATTAGTTTATGTATGCGCATCACTGTATATTTCCCCGAGGGAGCAATGGACAAAGACACAGATTTCCAGTTTAAGGTAGTTCTATGCATTAGTATACATATGCGCATCACTGTATATTTCCCCGAGGGAGCAGTGGACAAAGACACAGACTTCCAGTTTAAGGTAGTTCTATGCATGTGTATATATATGGACATATCATTTTCCAATAATCTACGAAGGTCGTTGTTATATTTTCTAGGTAAAATGAAAAACCTATGTATTACAGATCTAATTTCCGAGCCTTCAGTTCAATACTTTGTGTACACAATACCGTCCATGCAAATAGTCCGAATATTAAAACTATCTATACTAAACAGTCAATTTTATGAATCAGTATCTGTTTGTGTTTCTCGCCTCAGAAACAAAACGGGTTATTATCCACTCATTCGCCCGCCACAAAACATGCTTACACAATGCCGCTATGAAAAACGTATCATTTTCCCTTTTCTTGAAAGAAATGCTCGCTGTATGATCATACACTTTTTAGGATTCCGTTGCACTACCAGCACTACCAGTTTATAAGCACATGCGCTTTTTCGAACTAAATTTAATATTCTTGAGGTAAGACTTGGGGTACCCTTTTTAGCAGGCACAGTGTACAATCGACAACTGAGGGCTCACCTTCGATCTTATATTTAAGTTTACATATTACGTCAGTTTCTTCTGCCAGCTTCAGCTTCGTAGAGGTGACGTGCATGCACGTGTGTGTGTGTGTGTGTGTGTGTGTGTGTGTGTGTGTGTGTGTGTGTGTGTGTGTGTGTGTGCTAGCACACTGAGATACCAGTTTAACATGAATATCCCACTCAGACACAGTATACTGACTCCGAGCCGACTCCGACCAATCTCTGTTTTAGCCACTTAATGCCGAGAGCCAGACAGGGTAACAACAAGTAACATATTTTAACGTCTATTGGTATGACACGGTCGGGGATCGATCACAGAGGCGGTCCGGACTTGTGAAACAGGATGACCACATACAGATGTTTCACTTTTATACATTATAATTTCACATGTCTTACAATGCTAAAATGAAATTCAGTACATTTGTAATAGAGGTAAAATAATATTTTTGCTATTAGTGTGGGTTTTTTCAGACAAATGTCATCAATATCCCAATTGTAACTAGCTTATCTTAATCAGACTCTTGTGGGGACAAACAGACCCGGATTCTCAAGCTTATATAGGTACTAGTATATACAACTGATATAGGTTTATGGCCGCTAGGATACGGTTTACAACTGATTTTCAGCAACCAATGCTTGTCGAAAGAGGCGACTAACGAGATCGGGTGGTCAGACTTGCTGACTTGGTTGATGCATGCCATCGTATTCCAATTGCCTAGATCGACGCTCATGTCAGTCACTGGATTGCCTGGTCTAGACTCGATTATTTACAGACCGCCGTCATATACTTGTAATATTGCTTAGTGCGGCGTTAAACAACAAACAAACAAACAAACAAACATTACTTGTTTGAATACACAATACAACATATTTACAGGGCGTTTTACAGATCTTGTGTCATTGAACTGCGCTTCCAATGATAATATTTACATGGGACAGAAAGGAGCCAGAATGGGATCGTTGGGTTTCAAGGATCAACTGTTGGTTAAAAGAATGTATCCTTAAAGAGGCTAAAACTTACCAGCGTAACCTCTCAATGTGTGCGAGTGCGGCGTTAACAAGCAAACAAAAGTAAAGTAAACGCATAATTCTGGTTTCAGTCCATGGTGGTAGACAAGGAGCGGTATGAAGGGTATCTCAAACTAAATGACAGTTTCACCTGCATCCAGGGATTCACAAACATCCTTGCTGTAACACCTGAAATGGAACTGAAACGTCCCGCAAAAGTGTGTCTCCCGTTAGACTTGCATGCAAAGGGAGACAACTCTGAAGTGTTGTTTGTTCACTGGAAGGAATCTGAGGAAGATCGAGGGGCAGAGGTGATCTGTAACCTCCCGAAGGAAGAACCCAAGAACTCATACAGTGTAGACGTCACTTCCTTCAGCTCGTACGTATGTATGTCCATGTTGGTATGTCAGTATACGTGTGTCTGCATTCAATGCATTCGTCACCACTCGCCCCTTTCCGTAACCTGCAAGTAGACTCGTCCCCCTATCGATGAATGTTATGTGCGAAAATACGACAAACCAATCAGAATGCGCGTATGATTTCAAGTTCTTCGTCAAAGAATCCCTCAGGAATAATTTTTGATTTTACATAAATTTTGAATCTAAAATATACCCAAGATACAGTTAAATGTGTTCAATCATACTGTATACTGTCCCGATGTGCTTTAAATTGCATCTGAAATATATATAATATCTGGGGAAATATATGTGAAGCATTACGCAACGAGTTAACAATTGTTTTAGGTATGCCCGTTTGCGCTAAGACGGATCCCGGTCGCAATAATGGCCGCGTGAGGGGCACGAGTCGCTATTCGGCTTGTCCCGGAATAACACGAGTTGGTCACGAACGCATTCAATGGGCATAAATCATTCGTGACCAACTCGTGTTATTCCGAGACAAGCCGAATAGCGTTGCAGGTTACGGAAAGGGGCGAGTGGTGACGAATGGGACATAAATATGACTACAGTGTTAAACATGAAAGTCGCTCTGATTGTGATTCTATGGTTTTCCGTACCATACCTGGGTTTCACCAAAGTGGTAAACGTCTGAAACCTGCATCAATTCTAGTGGTCTAAAGGATGGAGCGTCTGCCCGGAGAGCGGAAGGTCGGTGGTTCGAACCCCGACCGCGTCATACCAAATGACGTTAAAAGATGGCGTTGGCATTAAGGAAATAAAACACGGACTTGTCACCTCTGAGTCAGTACACTGTGTCTGAGTGGGGTATTAATATTAAAACTGCGGCATGGTATCTCAATGGGCGAGCACTGTATTACCGGCATCAGTTCGGACCAGTACAAACAGCCACACACACGTACTCGCATGTCGCTATTGTGCAATAATCGTTATCGGCGTTAAACCAATTTCACCCACTGTGTTCCCATATTTGTAACAACGTGTATCAAATCCTACACATTCCAGGTACGCCCCCGTGTGTGTTCCCAAGAAGACATCTCTCGAGGACATCGCCACGTCAGTTGAGTTCATCTCTGGAAAGAGAAGCATGTGCAATATTCTCACCCTCAGCAGCTATGATACAAATTACAAGATGCACCGACTGTTGATGGACTGTGTAGACTTCTATAAAGTTAACAGCGTTATAGAGAGGCATCAACAAGATGGTATGAGGGAGATAGAGCTGAGTCGATCAAGGGACATTCAACTGAAGAGAAAAACACGAATTAAAGTTTCCCTGGAAGGGAATTTGACGTACTTAGATAAAAATCTGAAAGTGAATTCTCTAAAATATGACTGCTATGCTAGAACAAACAAAATAACCATGCCGGTCAAATCCAATGGACGTTCTATGAGCATTGTGCGGTATACGTGGGAACGAGAGAATCACCAGGTCTTCTTTTTCTTGGACAAACAAACCTTGGGTTCCTCATCGAGAAGCAAGGCCCAACACAGAAAGTCCAGTCAAAGTAGGAGCAGCACATTAACTTCCAGGAATGTTGGTAACAATGGCGCGTCTTCAGAGGAGAATGTCTCCTCCACATCACCATTAGACCTCCATCAACGTGACGTCACTGGCAGTCAGAATCATCGATTAGGTGTGTAGTAGATCGAACACTGCTGATTGATGTACGATACACAGTATAACACATTGACCACAACATGATTTAGATTCTGCCACCGGGGCCTGCATTATGAACACATAATTGAATCTTTTTTTTATAAAGCGACAAAGTCCGTTCCATTGTCATAGGAAATCTTTGCTAAATGCACACCCGATTGAACGATTCCCAGTATCACGAGAATCTGTTTAAGCATCACTATCAAACAGTGATGAGATCAGGTGTTCGCGAAAAGGTGAACGTATCCTGTCCCACCAGTGGCACCCATCACAAACACATGCAAAGGCAAGTCATTTGCTCACCTGACGATATGTTAGGGAGTGAGTATGGTTTTACGCCGCTTTTAGCAATATTCCAGCAATATGTTGCGGACAACAGAAATGGGCTTCACACTTTGTGCCCATGTGGGAATCGAACCCGGGTCTTCAGCGTGACGTGCGAGCGCTTTAACCACTAAGCGCCCCCACCGTCCCATATCCTATAAGTCAAACTTAGGGAATTGCATAGGTCATTATTTTGGTCACTGATTCGTAAAAATTAATTCAGAAATGTCCTCCATAGTCAACCATAACATATTTTGAAAACTTTACTGAGGCCTTGAATGCTGTAACCATCATCTGACAATGTTTGAGCATGAGTCGTGGACATGATAAAGCCTTGGTTCGCCACGCCCAAAGGCCGGGTTCGATTCTCAATGGGTACAATGTGTGAAGCCAATGTCTGGTGTCCTCCCACTCTCCCGTCGCAATATGGCAGGAATATTGCTGAAAGCGGTGTAAACTCCGACTCACTTAAGCTGTTTTCGTGACTGCAATATCTTTAGTGCCGAAAATCTCAACGTGTGTGTCTCTGTGTGTTATTAAGCTATGTGTTACCCACAATGATAAATATATACAACTTCGCAGGCTAAATATCAATATGTCAAACGTAACGCCGGTGAATAATCAGTCCCAATTATTTATCCACTGAAATAGATTCCATTGGGTGGAAAAGGCGAAATAGCAGTGAAAATGATTTGAATGGATCAACGCATGCACGCGTTTAAAATTTAACCAGTTTTTATATGCAGTGATGCCTGTTCGTTGACTGTATTGTACTCATGGGCCAGGTGTCATGTCAAGGAACTTCAACATAATTGTCGTTACTATGGAATACTGTAAGGGACATTCTCGCGATCTCGCAATCTCGTGTTTTGGGCATATTTACCTCGTTTCCAAAGGTCGAGATCGCGAGAACGCGAGATCGCGAGAATGTCCCTTACAGTATTCCATACGTTACATATACATATGTCAGACTTGTACGAACTATTGAACTAGGTAGGAGTGAGTGAGTTGGGTTTAACGCCACTTTGAACAGTGTTCCTGTTATGTGGGAGGGAAGCCTGGGTGACGCAGGTCTCAGATGTTTATTACTTTGGTGAACCCCACGAGTACGGGTATGGTGCTGACATCCCTGAAACATTCTAGTAATCGTGGCAAACCAGGAATCGAACCCATGATCATAGGTTTCTGGTGAGCCCAAGGGACGTAACTCTACATAGCGAATTACAGCGCCCTAGACGACTGGGTCACCCGTACCCCTCCAAATTATTCTATCCTGTAGATACTGTATGAAAAGTGTAATATTGTCGCTACATGCATTTCAGTCCATCCGGTTCTGTCAGACAAGAGTCTCTCGGCGCTCAGCGATTCTCTTCCTCAGGTAGTCTGGAGAAGCATGGGGTTAGAGCTGAACTTCACCACTGATGAAATATGTTCGATATTTGAGAAGGCGGAGCGACGGAAGTCCGACCCGAGGTTTGAGCTCCTCAGGGAGTGGAAGAGCATCAGTCGCGGGACATCTGAGAGCCTCATCAATGACCTTGTGGCTGCACTGGAGGAGATCGGACGCCACGACGTGGCAGAGATGTTGCGGCTGGCGGCGGGGGAGCGGCGCGAGATCCGGAGAAATGACTTCAATGGACGTGCTGGTCGGCAAAAAGCAGTGATGCGGCTTCCGACGGTTCGGGATGGACATTTTATTTATCCTGATGTCAATTAGTGCCGGTCATGCCCGGACCACCCACCCGCCTCCGTCCACCCACCACACCCCACCCCAGCCCTACCTGCCCACCCGACCCCTACCAATATTATTTCGCGGTTGTAGCAATTGCCTTGTGCCACTAGACCTAGATAAATAATACCCAGGAAAGTAATAAGGTATACGTACTCAATGCTGAAAGTGTGTATTAAAACTACTAGATAATAATACTGCTGAATTCTCGATGGTGATATTTTGAGTGCTTCTGTGACTTATCGCTTGGAGATGTTGAAGCTCATGTTCTAGCTCCGATTGTCCCTGAACGAGTACACTGTCGTACTATTTTTAGCGTCATTGTTTTCTACCCATACGTACTTGGGCATGGCGTTGATAAACAAGCACACGTGTCCTATACCTAGATAATCTTACCGTGTGTCTTTTGATATGAGATATATCAACACCAACTTCTGCAGTCTGTAAACAGTAATAACCAGTGTATAGTATACTACAGCTGACCAGCTTCAGCAGCAGAGTAATTAATGATGTCATTTGATTTTGATGTCATGGTAACGGGTGACAATGATCTGCAAATCATTGTGATGAAACTTCATTGTAATCACATCTCCCGTGGAAGTTGATTTACGCTACACGCAGCAATATTCCAGCTATATAACGTCGGTCTGTTAATAATCGAATCTTAATCAGACAATCTTGTGATTGACATCATGAGCATCGATCTATGCAAACGGGATACGATGACATGCACCAATCAAGTCAACGAGCCTGACCACCCGATCGATCCCATTAGTCACCTCTTACGACAAGCATGACTTGCTGAATACCAATTCTAAACCGGATCTTCACTTGGGGGATGGTGTTCTGAGCTCCTTGTCCGTGTAGTGTGCATCTAAGGACAAAGAACAGTCAATGGCGTTATCGGTATTTGATGAAAAATAAAACTGTATTCTTGTCAGCCATTGTACGAATAAACTGCCTGGAACCTTTTTAAAGAACATTGTTTGAGTGAGTGAGTTGGGTTTAACGCCGCTTTTAATAGTATTCCAGTTATATCAATGCTTGTCAGCTATTTTGGGGGAAAGCCCGAAGTGATGCAGGTCTCTGACGTTTACCACTTTGGTGAGCCCCACGAGCATGGGAATGGTGCTGACAAACCTAGAAACTTTATCAGGGCGAACCGGGATTCGAACCCACAATCTTGGGATACTGGCGTGCCCAAGGGACGCAACTCTGCACAGCGAATTGCGGTGCCTAAGACGACTGGGCCACCCTTGGCCCCAATTCTGCAAGATTTTAGGATCGTAACGCGGTACAGCGACCCTTATGGTGGCACAGTGACCCTTTCGGGGTTGAAACGATTTTATTGAAGTTTAATAAGGATTTAAATTTGTTTTTACTGTGCCATAAGTAGCTACCATAACTTCTCAGAAAGTTTTATAGAATGTGTAACCGTATCTAAGACGCATGTCGAAAAGATTGACACATATTGCGTACAACTGAAGTTGGTTTTTTTACAAGTGAGTAACAACCTGTTAACACAATACAACTGCACTTAAGCCATAAACGAGGTCCTTATCTCAAAGGCTGCGGGATTTTGCCAGAAGCTGTCTGCTCTTTCAGTAAAATAATGATTTATTAGAACCGTGGATCGATCTTGAATGCCGAAATCGATAAGGTTTATTGATTTCGGATATCTCTAAGGCCACTCTTTTTTTAGTTGCTTTACGTATATTTTTTTCAGGAAAATACCTGTGGCCAGGTGGGGAAAACAGCACTTTACTTTTTTATAGTTTTCTCCTCCTCAGCATGTTGGCTGGTATTAAAAATAAAAATGGTTTAATTTGGGAGGAGAGCCTGCAACACAGCTGTTGCTTTAATAATAATAATAATAATAATAATAATAAAAATAATAATACAAATAGTAATAAAAAATAAATATAAAAAATAAATAAATAAAATAATAATAAGCAGAAGAAGAAGATAAGAAGAAGAAGAAGCTAGAAAACACATATCCAATAGATTCCAACTATATCATGAGCATGTGTTTATGAATTACTATCAAACAGTAATGATATCAGGTGTTCGCGGAAAGGGGAGCGTGGCATGCCCCTTGCAGGAACAAGAAATTTTGTTTTGACTCCCATGTTAATATATGTCAACTTCAGTGCGCCCTTGTTTGGAAAATTAATATTTATGTGCAATATACTATCAGCTCATCAGCGGGATAAACAAAACAAAAGCAAATTCCGATTTTTATTCCAGAAAAATGTACAGTCGCGGACCAGTTAAGCAAGTAAAATAGTGCGGCCTAAGTTGCTACTAGGTACGCAACATGAAACCTTCTGAGAGGTATTTGATAAGAACAAACATAAAGTTTGCAGTGGAGGCGACGCGAGGAGAGAGTGCCTCGTTACAATCTGGATACTTGTCAGGTATGTACAACTGTTTACTGCTCCGGGTTTTTAGGTATACTTTTATATTAAGTGAATCGTTAAACATAAACTTTAATAGGTAGACATATAAATGCGCTTATAGTGCCATAAATGTCGACAACTTCTAATATGTTGTTGTTTTGGATGTTGTTTTTTATTCCGCCAAACTTTTAATACAGAAGCGGAAACAAGTTTTATATTGTAATCGGTAATGGTTGTATTTTGTGTATATTTTATGATATTTCAATGGTATATTTTCTATGTTCTTAGTTTTGTAGTGATAACCTTTTATGTGTATATAGTTTTATGTTTTGTGTATTTTTTTAGTTCATATATAGTCTCTCGTAACCCTTAAAGGGTGGCTCACTTTTTATTGTATTTTGTATAGCATATTTTACCCTGTACTTGTGAGGTGAGACTTAAATAAATGATCTGTCTGTCTGTCGTTCTCAAATGTGATTAAAAAATTACTAATGGACGAACGGACCAGGAAGTTTCTGATTGAATGCACATGTCGTTAGCCTGAAAGGGATATATTTCTTCCTCTGTCTTCACCATCCTTTAAGCAACTGTCCAGCCGCATCCCGGGTATTTCAGTGGGGGACAGAGGCACCCAACATTGCATCCTTGTGGGGAATCGAAACGGGGCTTTGTTGTAACTTGCGATTGCTTTAGCTATCCGGCTAAAGCTCCTACCACTACATACGGTACATGACATGCCACTTCTGTAGAACAATGAAACATTGTTTGATTTTCCGTGTCAATTTTAAGTTTATAAGTTATTCACTTTCTCGTATATTTAGAGAAAATTTTCAAAGCGTGCATTGTTCCCTTTGGAAGAAATATCTTAAATTCTACCTTTACGTTAACAATGAGTGAGTGAGTTTGGTTTAACGTCGCTTTTAACAGTATTCCAGTTATATCACGGCATGTCAGCTTAATGTGGGAGGAAAGCCCGAAGTGATGCAGGTCTCAGACGTTTACCACTTCGGTGAAACCCACGAGCAGGGGTATGGTGCTGACAAACCTAGAAACATAATAGGGTCGAACCGGGATTCGAACCCACAATCATTGGTTTCTGGCGTGCCCAAGGGACGCAACTCTGCACAGCGAATCGCGGCGCCTTGGACGACTGGGCCACCCGTGCCTCCACGTTAACATTTAAGAAATGTTGCATAGAAAGTATGTAGTGAGATAGAATAGAATTACGTCCCATCAGAAGTATTCTATCAGTAGACAGGACACTCACTGGGGCATACAAACACGTCTACTTATTATTTTTGTACTTTAAAACACAAAACTCCTATTGAATATTAATATTGATTCATGCATGCATACACAGATACATACATATACAACGGTCATTTACAAACCGCCGTCATATAGCTGGAATATTGCAGAGTGCGGCGTTAAACAACAAACAAATACACAAGCACACACACACACACAGACACACACACACACACACACACACACACACACACACACACACACACACACACACACACATACATACATACATACATATAGTCACGATATGGCTGAAATATTGCCGATGTGACGTTAAATATCGACTCACTCACCTATCTAAACTTACTGGGAACGTGGTCGAGGAGGTAGACATCGAATCAATGTATGGAGATTAAAAGAAGTTCCTGTTAGGTGACCTCCTTTGCATATTTTTCGGTTCGTGACACCAAGTTGGTTGATCACATCAATAACACTATCCATTATACGATAAACATTAGTGGGAATCAAGGACATATCACGGTCGTTTAATAATGCTCAAATTGACCTGTTGGCGTGTATATGTAAGGCAGGCGGAGTGTGGCAGTGGCCAATTAAAAACTGAAATAACTAAGCATTTTCATCTTATTATGCTGTGAACAGTTTTTGACTCATGGTGGTTGCTATCTATTAGGGCCGAAATACTGGCGCAAGACCTGAAAACATCAACCATGGCGAGTGACGAGTAAGTATCCTCTTTCTGACTCATTTGATACCTTAAACCATTTGATACCTTATATCCACACACTTCGTTCTTGTCGTAGAAATATCTGGTGGTTGATCTGGGACACAAGTTTAGTACTCACCGTGGTATCCTAGCTTCTTTAGTGTTGTATTTTCCCCGATTTTGTTGGTTGGTGTTTATCATTTAAAGGTAGTCATCGAATGATCATGCCAAACGCTGCTTATGGCCAAAACGAGGCTCTTATTACTGTGCTATTTATAGGTTGTTGAATATTTCTACTAGGGGTGTCACGATCAATCGAAATATCGATATATTGCTGTTTTTGTTAAGCACTTAAAGTCAATAAATCGATTGTTAAATCAGGTTCCTATCAATAGTATCGATTTCAGTTAGGAATATCGATAGTTTCGATTGTATTTACCATATCAATAAAATACATGCAATGCTGTTCAAATTTGTTTTTCTTTTGATCATGCGTGGTAGTAATTTACACATGGTAATGTGGAAGTTTCTTTTTCTTAAATAATTAGGGTAAAGAAAAAACAAATCAGTCATATCTCAAACTTTAATTTTTATTTGTTGTTATGGTTATCACATTCAAAGGAAGCTTCAGTTCCAAGGTATAATTCAACTTAAAACTCCATCTAAAATGATACACGAAAACTATAGATATTTATCGCAATAGTTGCTTGCAATATCAATAGTTATCGCGATAGTTTCTTTCAATATCAATAGTTATCGCAATAGTGATTTCCAGACCGTTAGTCACCCCTATTTTCTACACAAAAGTCCTAACTTGTAGTGAGAACACGAGTGTCGTGTGCAGTAAGAGAAATCCACTAAAGTTGATTTAAATCTTCCAGCGTTTTGACATTGCTCAATGGCTTCCTTTTAATTACATGTTAATACTATAACTACAACCACGAAGACTAATTTCTATGATCTTTTGTTTGCCATTTGGCTGATCCGTCTAAATGTTGCTTAATAATAGAACTTACCACAATATAGATCATATTTCACTTCTCAATGACAATCATAACCGTAGGACAGGGTTACAATAACATGCACGGTGTTCTGCAGGCGATGCTGTAAACAAACGTTTGCACGTATAGAATAAGAAAAAGGACCTGGGACACCATCTGAGCGTAGCTCTGGACGTTAGAGTGACCTGCCCTTAGTTTAAGATCTTGACTAAGGAACAGAAGCGGGGCTTGAAAGTGAAACGGAGACCAGAAAGATTTGTTTCTCTGTTCTGTGTGTACCTAGAGTAACCCTATATTGATAAATTAATATACATATTCATCATAAAACTTCATGTAGCATTGTGGTTTATACCTTGCAATACGATCTTCCCTGTTGCATGACCGACACTTTTGCCTCGTTTTCTGGCATTTTCTTGGACTCTAATAAGAATACGTAAATTATGAGTTGGAGTCGTATTTCAACATTATTCCTCAACATAACAGTATGATTTCAATACAACTTTTACATGTTTCAGTACTCCTGAGTACGGAATGTTCGTGATGATTTAGCCAAAGTAAAATATGAAATCACAATTTTCTTCATGCACAGTTATTAACTTACAGTAACACGTGAAGGTCAAGGTTCTGTCTTGTATCAGGTGAAATATAAAACGTCAACGCCAGCAACAACTAGTCTCGATTATCTGACGAAACAGATCCCATTTTATTACTTGCCCGTGAAGAGATCACGCGTTTAATAAACATACAGCTGTATTACACATTGTGTAATACCAAAACGCGTGCTGATGTACTCTCCGAACACGTTTCTAGAACAAATATTGAAAGCTCTCAACATCCCTTGGCTTATCCAACGACATTGCGTGTGGAGATGATAGATCACTGAGAGGAGCTTATGCACACTCGATGACCCCAGCAACCTTGTTGCTAGGCTGACGTCATATGGCATTGTTTCGCCGAAGGATCTTGCAACAAAATTCCACAAATTACGTCATCGGTATTGTGACGTCATTGTAAACTTTGAGCTGCAAGGCCCCGTTCCACAAGGCCATCGTACTGTAGCACGACAGTCGTTAGTCTAAGTTAAAGTATGTGAGCTGCGATAACCTTAACGCTAATTTAATTTTGTGGAACGGACTCCTGAATTCTAAAAGTGGGCCGTTGTATGGTATTGAATTCATACGTTTCAACTTTTGACGTGCTTGAAGTATTATTGTGTTAAACTCAATTGGATTATGCCGTGGATCGTGTAGGTGTCAGCCTATTCACACTCAACAGTATAAATCTGAAAACGTTATAAATGGCTAGTAATAAATAAAATACTAAACTCGCTCCCGTGTAAAACCAATTTTATGAAACTCGTGAATAGTTGTGGTATCTGACTCGCTTTCGCTCGTCACATACCACAACTATTCACTCGTTTCGTAAAATTGGTATTACACGGGAGCTCGTTTAGTATTCTATATGGGCGTAACAGGCAAAATAGCGGTGAAAATTATTTGAATGGGCCACTGAAAATCAGTGGCACTGGTATTCGCGACAAGGGTCATACCCTGCTCTACCGGTAGCACCCGTCTCTCACAAATTTTGAAAAAAAACCATATGTCTATTTCGCCTGACAACACAAAGCAGTACTCCAGAAACATGCAACATGCATTTGAATCTACCCCAGATATTCTGTTTGCGTCACGATCTTAGCTTATCACACTCCACATTTTCCTTCAACTTAATTTTCAACTTCTTGCTTTCATCATCATCACAAACATGACACTGTATTATACCAGTTGCTTAATGCCTGTTATTTCATACTCAGAGATGTGACGAAATTAGACCTGATTGGTCAGACCCAGGAAAAGCAAGGTTTGTTCTCTCAGTTCAAAGAACGTTTGAAAACTATCCTCGGTCTTCCAACACAAAGAAAGGACCCTAACGTTGACGTGAAGGTTCTCCACTCCGCGGAACGCGACGAGTGCTTGGATCAGCTTGGACTCCACCAGGATCAGCTGTTGGTGTCCGATGTGTACAGGGTTGTCCAGAGTCTCCAGACTCTGCCTCCAGATGGGGAGCTGATTGTTCCCCTGGAGATGCCAGAACGATCCATTCCACCCCAAGTGTTGTACACGTTTACGTACTGTATGAAGATTGGCGGACAATGGCACCTGGAACCGGCAGAATACAAGGTTTGTATGCCCCGGTTTGCAATTCCTTAACCCTGAAACATGTATTGTATTCCGATGTGCCTCATGAATACCCTGGTTAGAATTGGTCTTCAACGAACCATGCTTGTCGTAAGAAACGACGAACGGGATCGGGTGGTCAGACTTGCTGACTTGGTTGATGCATGTCATCGTATCCCAGTTGCTTAGATCGATGCTCATGATGTCAATCACTGGATTGTCTGGTCCAGACTCGATTATTTACAGACTGCCGTCATACAGCTGGAATATTGCTACGTGTGACGTTAAACAATAAAACTGTATTCCGATGTATAAAGCTGCTCTTCGGGCTTGGGTTATAACCATAGAACAGCTAGTTCAAAACACACTCATGGTGACATGCAGTTCATGTCATAACTCTTCCTTAATCACGTTAAGTTATGTTAAGTAACGTCATGTTATGCATGGGATATCAGTTTTGATGAAGGGTTGCAGATAAGGAACGAAAAGATGTACAGGTTTTGGAAAACAAGATGGCGGCCCCACTCTACCGCAACCGTTTTTTGTCTCCGTTTGGGAATACTTTTCTTTCTTTTTTTATGAAGTCGAGTTTCCAAAGGATGGTCGTTAAGTATAGGACTGACACCTGTCAGTAAGTCTACGTTTAAGTATCGGAGTTATGACTGTCGTAAGTATATTTAAAAGTATGGGAGTTACGACTGTCTTAAGCCTATGTTAAAGAATGGGAGTTACGACTATCGTAAGTCATTGTTAAAGTATGGGAGTTACGACTGCCGTAAGTCTATGTTAAAGTATGGGAGTTACGACTATCGTAAGTCTATGTTAAAATATGAGAGCTACAACTGTCGTAAGTCTATGTTAAAGTATAGGAGTTACGATCACTCTGTGGAAAGGGACCCTGCCTCATAAGCCTGTATCAGTGACAAGATAACTCTGACAGTCTGAACCCATGGTAAAACATAATATCCAGTAAATATACATGCATGGTAGTGTACAGTCCTTGATTCCTTCCTGCAGGAAGGCGGCTGTGTATATGGCAAGCTGACAGAGATGGACGTGTTTTGTGTGACGGCGGAGTTAAAACCGGAATATGCCACAGTGGGGCCGAAAGGTCACAAGTTTGTCTCTGAGAAGGACGAGAGAATTGCCATTGACTTCCCAGAAGATTCTTTGAAGAAGGAAACGAAGTTGAAAATTGTTGCAAGTATATTTGAATTTTTGAACCACGTCATTGAACAGAATATATTTCGGAATATACTACTAAAAAGAAGTTAAGGAACCCCCAATTCCAATCGAGTGTTCTACTTCTTCGAGTTGTATATATCCTCAGGCTATATCAGGCCTGGTGACGTTGCCTACGTGTTAAAATGTTGGTTCAACACGCAGGAAATAATATGATTGGTATATTGCTAAAAGCGGCGTATAAATTCACTCTCTCTTTTCTGGTCAAAAAGTACAAATATTATTGTTCACAACGTAAATAAGCTTCTGGATATCAGCATAGAATTGAGTTTTCACTCACCGTAACACATGGTTGGCAGGCAGAATAATCAGCCTCGTTCCGCAGAAACAGGTTCCATTGGGAACATAGGCAAAATAGCGGTGAAAATGATATGAATGGATCACCGAAACGCAGTGATGACACCAGGTGTTCGTACTTTTATAACACATAGTTGTAGCCCGAATAACAAAACTTTCTATGCGTCAAGAAATAAAATCAAAGGTCACCATTTTGTCATTAATGTATAGACCCGTGAAGATTGCGGGGTAGAATAGTTCTTCAGCAAACCCATGCTTGCCGTAAAAGGTGACTATGCTTGTCGTAAAAGGCGACTAACGGGATCGGGTGGTCAGGCTCGCTGACTTGGTTGATGCATGTCATCGTAACTCAATTGCGTGGATCGATGTTCATGACATTAATCACTGGATTGTCTGGTCCAGACTTGATTATTTACAGACCGCCGACATATACCTGGAATATTGCTGAGTGCGGCGTTAAACAACAAACCAACCAACCAACCAACAAACCAACATTAACGTATGAATATCTTTCTTCAGACGGACATCGTCGACCAGCAGCGGTTTGAGGAATACAAACGTGATAATGAAAAGTTCCGCTGTATAGTTGGGTTCACCAACATTCTCACAGTGCATCCACCGATGAAGCTCCACACAGAGGCTAACATACGCCTTCCTCTCGATGGCGACTTTGTGAAGGGGCATGGCAGGGTCATGTTTCTACACTGGAAAAAGAATGACGACGCCGATGATGACGAAGACGAAGACGACGTTACCGTCGTTAACGTATCCCCTATGAAACAGGGAGGAAATTCCTACACGATCCCAGTGAAAAGTTTCAGCGGGTACTCTTTGATGCGAATATGTATGCATCCATTATGTTGATGCTACCTTCGCGATTCTTCACCTTGTTGTTTCTTTGGTTTAGCCATACCTATTCACGAGAAGTGAACGGGAATAGGGGACAAGTTCTTCCAACTTAGGTTGCCCTCTCTCTTCATCTTTTTACAGTCATACATACCATCCAAGCTTTTCAACACGCTAAACCCTCATTTTTACACTCTTAGTGGACATTTACCGACAGCAACACATGCATTAATAATTCAAGCTTTTCAACACGCTAAACCCTCATTTTTACACCCTTAGTGGACGTTTACCAACAGCAACACAAGTATCAACAATCCAAGCTTTTCAACACGCTAAACCCTCATTTTTACACTCTTAGTGGACATTTACCGACAGCAACACATGCATTAATAATTCAAGCTTTTCAACACGCTAAACCCTCATTTTTACACTCTTAATGAACACTTACCGACAGCAACACAAGTATCAACAATCCAAGCTTTTCAACACGCTAAACCCTCATTTTTACACTCTTAGTGGACATTTACCGACAGCAACACATGCATTAATAATTCAAGCTTTTCAACACGCTAAACCCTCATTTTTACACTCTTAATGAACACTTACCGACAGCAACACAAGTATCAACAATCCAAGCTTTTCAACACGCTAAACCCTCATTTTTACACTCTTAGTGGACATTTACCGACAGCAACACATGCATTAATAATTCAAGCTTTTCAACACGCTAAACCCTCATTTTTACACTCTTAATGAACACTTACCGACAGCAACACAAGTATCAACAATCCAAGCTTTTCAACACGCTAAACCCTCATTTTTACACTCTTAGTGGACATTTACCGACAGCAACACATGCATTAATAATTCAAGCTTTTCAACACGCTAAACCCTCATTTTTACACTCTTAATGAACACTTACCGACAGCAACACAAGTATCAACAATCCAAGCTTTTCAACACGCTAAACCCTCATTTTTACACTCTTAGTGGACATTTACCGACAGCAACACATGCATTAATAATTCAAGCTTTTCAACACGCTAAACCCTCATTTTTACACTCTTAATGAACACTTACCGACAGCAACACAAGTATCAACAATCCAAGCTTTTCAACACGCTAAACCCTCATTTTTACACTCTTAGTGGACATTTACCGACAGCAACACATGCATTAATAATTCAAGCTTTTCAACACGCTAAACCCTCATTTTTACACTCTTAATGAACACTTACCGACAGCAACACAAGTATCAACAATCCAAGCTTTTCAACACGCTAAACCCTCATTTTTACACTCTTAATGAACACTTACCGACAGCAACACAAGTATCAACAATCCAAGCTTTTCAACACGCTAAACCCTCATTTTTACACTCTTAATGAACACTTACCGACAGCAACACAAGTATCAACAATCCAAGCTTTTCAACACGCTAAACCCTCATTTTTACACTCTTAGTGGACATTTACCGACAGCAACACATGCATTAATAATTCAAGCTTTTCAACACGCTAAACCCTCATTTTTACACCCTTAGTGGACGTTTACCAACAGCAACACAAGTATCAACAATCCAAGCTTTTCAACACGCTAAACCCTCATTTTTACACTCTTAGTGGACATTTACCGACAGCAACACATGCATTAATAATTCAAGCTTTTCAACACGCTAAACCCTCATTTTTACACTCTTAATGAACACTTACCGACAGTATCGCATGCATTAAAAAAGGACACCAGGAAACATCGGACGATTTGTTGTCAGTGACGTTTTTTTAAGGTGAATAATTGACTTTGCATGTGTTTGTGACGGGTGCAACCGTTGGGCAGGATACGCTCACCTTTCCACGAACACCTTGTGTCATTACAATTACTATTACAATCACATGACAAGACAGAAATGGTAGTTCTCTTACGTATTACTAAAGTGCCCCACCGTGGTCACAGTTAATTCGATACTTCAATAGTGTATGAGGGTTGATTGATAGGTTCTCATGCTCCCACAGAAGGGAATGCACCATAGTGTATTGTGGGCATCACATGTTGCCGTTGAGGCATATCCACAAAAACTTGAGTCAGATGAGCACATTGTTTCGCTGTGAGTTGGCAGTACAATAACAAGGGCGGATCCAACATTTTCAAAAGGGAGGGGCCCAAAATATCAAACTCCTCTCTCAGTCACTTTACTGCATACAGCATACTACATGTGGACCCCTCTAGATCCGCCTATGAATAACCAGGCGTCTGTGACATTTGGAACATGGACAAAATTTGATGGACTGAAACTCGACAGACAGCAAGAAGACTATTGTTACACGAGGGTTGATTGGGAACTTCTAAACCTCACACTGAAGGCATTGCGTACCAGTAAACTCTTTTCTTCTTGACAATACATGATGTCACAGAGGTATCCCCACAAAAAACTGAACCCATTGACTTGTCACAACGAAACAATTTGCTCGAATGACACACATTTGTATGAATATACCTCTGTGACACCATGTTATGTCGACAACACAAATTTCACTATCTCACAATTCCTTCCATGTGAGGATTAGCACTTACCAACCACCCAACGCCAAGTGGATAACGCTTCCTTCGAAAGGCAAACAGCTAATTCGACGCATGACCTTCCCACTGCTGGTGGGTTAAATCATGTCTTTCATTTCGGCGGGTAGCGACTCGCGTCTTAGTTTGTACAAAAGTCAACAACCTCGATGGTTTTGACTTGATCCTTATCCGTTCCCAGTTGCAAATACCACTCAACAGGTGCACCCACGACCAACTCACCTGGGATTTTCGCGTGACATCTCCTTTGAAACTGCTTGTCGGGGAAAGAATGTTAAACCGATTTTATTGCGTTAGGTGATTAGAGCCTTAAGAAAGGTTGTTCAAGGTTGTAAATTAAGCTATATAGCTCTTAAGGGAAACGTTATTCCAATCGCTTTGTTTATTCAAACTTTCTATTAAAGAACTTAACCTATCAGGCAAACCAAAGAAAAACATGTGATCAGAAACATAGAAATGAGTATGCTATTTGTCTATATTACACTCAGATTACTGGGCAGACTACGAGTCGATAATGTATTGACCAAACGACGAGTACGCGACAGCTGGATTGCATATCGTAGTTTTCTGAATACATTATCGACAGGTATGTCAATCCAGCGCATAGTTTCAGAGTGCAACGTCTACTCATGTTTATCGTATTCGATATTGTGTGTGCAAAACAGACAAAAACATACACATTTCTATTTTTATAAACACACAATAGTTTTTCTTTGGTAGGTCTAGCCTCTTTAAATTTGTTAAAACAGCTTGCTTATGAATATGATTTATGTCTGTTTTTACGATTTTATTTTGTATTTTGAAAAGTTTTGTTTGACTTTACAAACAACATAAAATAGTATCTGTATATGTTTACTATGGGATAGACCATTATTTGATATTGGCGGTGGGGGCGGGGTTTGGGGTTGGGGGTGAGGGGTGGTGGGTGGGTTGGGGGTTGGGGTTGGGTTATGGGAGGGGGATTTTATTGAAAAAATAAATTGTCTCGCTAATTCTTAAAAAATTATGCTTCAGACTGTCGAAAAAACGAAATGACACAAAAAATACATTGTTGCAAGGTGTTTTATAATCAGTCGCATAGTCTTAATTATCAAAGTATCTGGTTTTGCACCTGTAGCTGAAAAAGTATCTAATCTTCAAACAAAATCCTTGCCCCCAAGCCTTTCCCCTACCCCCTGGAATATCGAATGGTAGCTCGCTTATAATTCCAACGTAGTAGCATGTACGAGGGTTGTCTAGTTAGACATTGTTGGTTATTGTTATGTTCCCAATCACTGTCCCTCTTTCATTCCTCAACCTGTAATAGTAGGATTACCTTAACAGAGTTGCCTCCCTCAGCCGTGCCTGGATCCTGGATCGCATCGACTATGACCATAGCGATACCCATCACAACCACCATAAACGCCCTGAAATATTTTTAAAAGAGGCGTCAAGGTCAATTAACTCATAATCACTGGTGCATGGACCCATACGACAGGTGTGGCCAAGATGTCTCTAGCGCCACATTTCATTTTGCAGAGTTGCGTCCCTTGACCATGCCAGGAACCCATGATCCTTGATTGTATATAACGTCGTGTCTCTGATGTTTCAGGTATTGCTGTGTCGCCGTCCAACCTCACAGTCCTATCAGAGAGATAGTCAGAGCGGCCAAACACGCCATCGGGAAGCTGAATCTGTGTGTTCTCCTCACCTTCCTTGACTATGACCAACATCTGAGGGTCAACTACATCCTAGTTGACTGCGTGGAGTTCACCAAGGTGGACAGAGCTGTCGAACTACACACCAACGATGGCATGACAGAGATCAAGCACAGCAGATCAAGGGACATCGAACTCAGGGACAGAACTAAAATCAAACTAGCTCTGGGTGGATGCATTAAGCTTCATGACAAGGCATTTGCAACAAATTCTTTTTATTTCAACCAAATGTCCAGAACCAATAAAGTGGTCATCCCCTTCACATCCACGGGGGAGGATGGCAGCTTGCGGTTCTACTGGGGCCAGCATGATCACAAGGTTCACTTTCCCCTGGAGTGGAAGAAGGCCGCCAACAAGAAGCCATCCACGAGGCAAAGGCCCGCCAAGAAGAACCAACGTTCTATGAGTGCCATAGGCCACCGGGGTACAGAAGTTTCTTCCAGAGAGAGAAAATATTCCCAAACCCAGGAACCTTCGATCGAGGCTTCAATTCCACGGAAACCATCAGGTATTGCATTATATTCCTTGACCTTATCACACTTTGGCTATGCATTTTTATTCAATGATTTTTGCTAATCAATTAGCTTAGGTAAATGTTTTGTAACTCAAAAATATTTTCGGGGCGGTCGGGTAGCTTAGTGGTTAAAGCGTTCGCTCGTCACGCCGAAGACCCGGGTTCGATTCCCGACATGGGTACAATGTGTGAAGCCCATTTCTGGTGTCCCCCGCCGTGATATTGCTGGAATATTGCTAAAAGCGGCGTAAAACCATACTCACTCACTCAAAAAATAAATAAATTTGATTTAAATTTGTTTGGGTCGGACGTATTATTGAACAAATTCAGTTCAGTTCTTTTTTATTTTTTGTCTTTAGAAGGTGAATTTCAGTGGCCGGATACAATCTACACTTTGTGTAATCAATTATCATAAAACACAGTTACTTTTTCTTTGATAGGGATAAGTGGTAGGCCAATAACAATAAATTACACTTTGTCTATATCGGTTTCACATTGTGACGGGGTGTCGCCTTTTCTTGACTTGTCATCACGTTTACACTGACATAATTAGACACGTATTTTGGTATCAAGTTGTTTTTGAATATTAGAATTTATTCATGAACATGGATTCTAAATATAACAACATAGATTTAACAATGGAGATAGTTCTATGATTATACAACTTCTTTATTACAATGAAAGCGACGTTTCGATGTGGATACCAACAACGTTATTAAACAAGTGACGTGTTATTACCGAGTATCTACACCGAAACGTCGCATTTGTTGTAATAAAGAAGTTGTACATTCATATAACTATCAACCTTCTTTATCATACCAACTGCCATACGCCACTTAAAGAAATATAGATTCAATATTAGCAACATCAAAATACGGATTTATGCAAGTGCTCATTCTTACAACATAACATTTCTCGAACTATGATTTAAATGTTTTTTGTTTTGTTTATGTATTTGTTGTTTAACGCCGCACTTAACAATTTTCCAGTTATTTGAAGGCGGTCTGTAAATAATAGAGTCTGGACAAGACAACCCAGAGATTGACGTCATGTCCATGCAATTGGGATACGATGACATGCAATCAACCAATCTGTGAGCCTGACCACCCGATCCCGCGTCTCACGATAAGCATTGGCACCTTAAAAATTAACCATGTGTATCCCCTATATGTTAGACTAACATTTAGTCTCTGAAATCTTATATTACACAATATCCTTCTTGACTCTAAATTATTATTTTTTCTCTATGCTGATATGTGGAATAGAGCTAGCTTGAGCTGGCTAGACTTGCTTTTGTATGCATTTCTAGATTATTATTTTTTCATAAAAAAAATATATTCCACGGTCATGGTGCAGGACTACCTATATGTAACAAAGGCGTCTTGTCATTGCAGTTATTGCCAAGCATCCCCTTCTGACGGATAAAAGCCTGGCAGCCTTGGCAGATACCTTACCGTATTCAGAATGGCGAAATGTTGGCCTCGAACTCAACTTTCCCACAGACGCTATCACCACCATATTTGACAGGGCTGACAAGATTCGATCCAACCCAGGACTCGAGCTTCTCACTGAGTGGAGACGGAGGAATACTGAAAGGGACACCGACAAGCTCATGGATGACCTAACTGATGCATTTTCTGAACTCAAGCGGAACGACATCGCGGAAGTTGTTGCAGCAGCAAGGCAACAAGTGCGTCCCATACGAAGAAGTGACCTGGACTGTATTCTGGCGTCTCCTCGTTCACCGATGAGTCCAATGTCGACCTTCGGGTCTGAGGTGTCATTTACCAGCGATGAGACTGACAGTGTCTTCCAATCGGGTCGTTGGTCGTCGGCCTCCAATCAAAATCCATTCCTCTCTGGCGTCACTCAGCACGACTCGGGCCAATAGGACCCCGACGATCACTGACAGGAATCCATGTTGAATCTAGTTTCGTGTACGTGACTATAAAACTGTAGAACACAAACTGGCCGTCATGAACCTTATATGTCTGTTCTAATTATTTCCGTTTACTTTTGTCTTCGAATCAAAGTGTCCGATTTCTGATTCTGTTTAAAAAACGGCTGTCGTGATAACAACGGACTATCTGCATCTGCAGCGGGATTTGGTATTACGGGCTTACATTGAATTCACTCCTAAATTGATGTCGAGTAGTGATATTGTAGGTAGCGGAATAAACCGAGAGGACCCGAAGACGAACGGGTAAGAAAGTCATCAGAAGTTGACCTTGAGGAGAATCTAGACCAGGAGCAGCTGACATCATGGCTTAATTCATGACAATGAAAACCCATTGTGTCTGTCTGTAATCTCTATGTGTCATGATATCAATCTTGAGATAAGTAATGAACACAATCACAAACAAATCCGTCTTACTTTCATACAGGGCATATAACAATCTAGAAGTGTAAATTAGAGCTGTGAATGTTATGAATGCGATAAACCATGTCTCAAAGTGATGCTATAACAAAGTATTTTTAGCTGAATAATTATTTCATGTATCCACAGCACTGTATGCACTGATTGTACATAGACAAATAATGTCCGACTGATGATTATACATTGTGCATGGTTGTATATTGACAAATAATATAGCGCTGATGATCAGACAGTGTGCGCCATTTGTATATAACTTTTTAATGTCCGACTGATGATTATACATTGTGCATTGTTGTATATTGACAAATAATATACCGCTGACGATCAGACAGTGTGCGCCATTTGTATATAACTTTTTAATGTCCGACTGATGATTATACATTGTGTGTGGCTGTATGTATTGACAAATAATATAGCGCTGATGATCAGTGTGCGCCATTTGTATATATCTTTTTAATGTCCGACTGATAATTATACAATGTGCATGGTTGCATATTGACAAATAATATACCGCTGATGATCAGACAGTGTGCGCCATTTGTATATATCTTTTTAATGTCCGACAGATGATTTTACACTGTGCATGGTTGTATATTGACAAATAATATACCGCTGATGATCAGACAGTGTGCGCCATTTGTACATATCCTTTTGATGTCCGACTGATGATAATACATTTTGCGTGGTTGTTTTGACGATTAGTGTACAACCTGGTGGATCCGACATTGTGCAAGGTTGAAAACCGACGATTTATATCAGAATTGTGTTCATAGTTATACAATGATTATTTAACGTTTGTCGCGCTTGAAAAAATACAGTAAACTACGTTATAACAAACACGCTTATAACGAACTGACGGATATAACGAACTTATTTTTACTCCCGACCATTTGTTGTATATATGCTGTATGTATGCTTATAACGAACTACGGTTATTACGAACTACAATTAGTGGTCCCCTCGAGTTCGTTATAACCGTAGTCTACTGTATATGATTATGATTTCCTTGTACTGTTTACTGTAGGCTTTAGTCCATGCTTTTTGTAGCCCAAGGATTTGGTTTGGTGTTTTGGTCTGTATATGTGTAGTATTTGAACAGCCGCAATTACCTGTAGTGAGCGCTTATCCTGTCATGGAACAAATTTATGCGTCACTCTTATTTCTTTTTTTAGGGTCACTGGGGTAGCCCAGTGCTTAAAACGTTAGCTTGTTACCTCGAAGACTCGATTCGCAAATCGGAACAATGGGATATTAGCGGAAAACAATATTCGCTTTTTATGTGGCTTACTTAGACAAGAGTTTCGTCTTTATGTATACATGTAGCATAATATATTAATCGTAACGTATGATAAGGGCCCTCTGTGGTCTATATGATCTGTACCATTTGAGAAATGAGCAAAATAGACTGCGTGAAGCCTTTACTTCCGAGGCGGACCTTCTGGGGTCATGTATACAAAGACAATGCTTCACTTCACTTCACTTTTTATTTCAGTGCTTGTAGGCCACGGGCCTTTTTGTACACACGAAATACAATCTAGGTGCAAACAGTATAAGATATAATACACATTTCTTTGCTTTTGAACAAAAGCAGTTTTAACATAATTGCACATTTTACATGATGGAGTATTTGTGTTCTTACAACATTGGCATAAAACATGAATACGTTGCTGTATTCATATTGATAATAGGGTCTTGCTATGACAGTAGTGTATTAAACTTCAGAATATTATGTATTAAAGACAATACAAACATATGCTAACATGGACATTAATGTTGGCGTTGCCATTCGGTCTGCAACGGCTCTGGTGACACGCCCTTTCATGATAGAGGGTGCACTGTTGCAGTATACTTTATAAGAACGTTTCGGAGAGTGTACAGTTGACCACCAGTATTGCTTATGCATGGGGTGCGGTCGGGTAGCCTAGTGGTTAAAGCGTTCGCTCGTTACGCCGAAGACCCGGGTTCGATTCCCGACTTGGGTACAATGTGTGAAGCCCATTTCTGGTGTCCCCCGCCGTGATATTGCTGGAATATTGCTAAAAAACCAAACTCACTCACTCACTCACTCACTCACGCGTATGCATGGCATGTATGTCTTCACTGGGGCAGTGGGTAGTGAGATTGTAAACAGGTTGACTATCATCATGGTAAAAATACATCATAAATAAATAATATATCCACTTAATAACATTTGTGTGTTTTTAATTTGGAACTCGTCTTGTAATCACGTCTTCCAAATCCATAGTCCATGTACATTCTATATATTCAGATATCGTTGCTTGCATTTGTAAGTTAATAAAATATAACGCGACAAAACCCATTCATGAGCATTAGAAATCTTTACTAAAACAAGAGTCAATTGCTCATCTTTCTTTGCCCTTGTATGGCCATTCTGATTAACATGAAATATGATTAAGAGAAAATATGATGAGCAATATTGTTCTTTTGGTATTACATAATTATTCCACGACAAATTTCGATTTTTTTATTGTGATTGATCAATCAGAGGTAGTTGTGGTGATTTGAACCTCAAACCTAGAAATGTAATTTTAAATTTACATTAAGCAATCCATGTCCGGAAAAAGCTGAAAAATGTTTTTTTAATAATAAAGATGTGCTTTGACTGAAAGTTTGAACATTTCATTATAGGCCGCATCAATTGAACTATATCTATTTAAAAAATGTTCGCCAATGTGTATATCAAAGGGAGTTTGATTTATCCACGATGCCATATGCTACGATGGAGGGACTATACCATATGCTACGATGGAGGGACTATACCATATGCTACGATGGAGGGACTATGCTATTTATCACACCATCCAGGAGTCATTACCTTCAACTTGCTGTACTCTGCGGACATTGGTGTACTCTTAACAAACGGAACAGATATATTCATGTGGTGATGTAATCTCCCAATGAGTTGTTCAACAATGTCAGGGAAGTCCTCTGAAATGTCATGTTCCTCCAGGGGATCTTTATGGAGATTAAAGAGACCATACTTCTTTGATATAGGTTTTCCAAACTTGGTCTTGAGAATCCCAATGTCCTGTGGGGCTATCCAGCCGTTCGCCATCTTTCTAGCCCGACCTATGAAATCAAATACAGGCTGGTGTTCACTTAACTGGAAACCAGGATCTCCCTTTATGAGTTTGTATTCCCCAACACGAATAGCAGCCCTTCCTTCAATGTTATACACGTGCTCAGACCTTACTGGCTTACCTCCCTTGCTGATGACGTCCCATTGGTTTACGCCATCCATGTCAAGGTCGACGTCTTTGCTTCCGGCAGCTGCCAGAAAGGTTGGAAACCAGTCGGCTGCGTTCATCAGATGATTGCTCACAGAACTTGTCTCTTTCAGAAGGGTTTTACTGTAGACAAAGTTCACTGCCCTCGTCCCTCCCTCCCATAATGTATTCTTGATTCCGCGTAGCGGCCAGTTATATCCCCCTTTTATTGGCCGCCCGCCATTATCACTGAGGAAGACCAACAACATGTTGTCTGAGAGTCCCCGTTGTTCTAATGCATTAACTACGTCGCCGATCGCTTCATCCATGGCTGTTACCATTCCACTATAGGTAGCTCTGTCATGATGTAGATGGGAATACATCTTCGAGTATTCACGAGGTACCGTGAGGGTTCCATGGACAGCTTGGAATGGCAGATACAGAAATAATGGCACTGAAGGGTCGTGTTCCTTGATTATTTCAACAGCTCGATCACGAAAGAGAAAGGTTGAGTACTGCTGTTTTGTGTCATTGAAAACCTCTGTGTTAAAGTTCAGATCGTACTTGTTACCTATGCAATGTGTATAATAGTCTTCTCTCCCGCTGTAATAGCCAAAGAAGGAGTCGAACCCTCTATACGTGGGCGTGTGTTTCCAGCTGCACAATCCCAGGTGCCACTTGCCCACCATGTGTGTAGCATAACCCAGGTCTTTTAGTCTACGGGGTAAAAGATCAAACGTCAGAGGGAGTGACCTGTCCCCGTAATTGATGACTTGGTACTGGAGACCTATTCTGTGGGGGTAGTACCCTGTTAGCAACGAGGCTCTTGTGGGCGAGCACCTTGGAGCTACATACGAGTAATTCAGGATCAGTCCACTTCTCGCAAGCTTCTCGAGATTCGGCGTGATGATGTTTGGATTATGCCAGCTGACGTCACTCCATCCGAGGTCGTCAGCAACGATGAAAACGATGTGAGGAGGAGGTGGGTTCTGACCTGACAGTTTAAGCGTAAGGAGACGTAGCTGTGTGTGGAACCTGTACAGGGTCAAGACCGTCACTACGAGAGAGGCGACGGTTATGACGACAAATAGAAACTTTATTTTAGACTTCATTGTGTCGTTTTGTTTTCATGGTGAGCTTGGGAAAAAGCGCAACGCATGCTTTTCCATATTGCCTAAAAGTAAAAAGGAAATATCTTCATTATAATGGTAATAAAAAACGTCAAAGCGGTGGGAATATTGATACGGATTTATCTGTGAAATAAAAATCTACACTCACGGATTAAATACATTTAGCTAACATTATAACGCAATAAAATCCGAAAATGTTTAAAATAAAAACTAGTTGGCGTTCGTTGCACCGTCTTCAGAACTTCCCTCATCAAGTTGTTCTGTTGTTCTTGTTGTGACTGTTGTTTTAGTTGTTAAGAATCAAAATACATAATACTGGTAGCAGACACTACTATAAAATAAAAAGACGATTATATCTCTTGCCAAAATGCTGTGAAATATGGGGAATGGAAATAATACACACAAAAAACTATTATTATTGTATTCAAACATGGTGGCAGACTCTCAAGACATCAAAGATGGTCCTATGTACCACGTAAGACTTTTAGCTCCTGTAAATATCTGGGTCAAATGATAACTCCTTTGCTGATATTGACTACAGCTTCTAATACCCTCAAAGGGGCACGGGTGGTCCACTCGTTTGAGGCGTCGCGATTCGCTGTGCAGAGTTGCGTCCCTTGGGCACGCCAGAAACCTATGATTGTGGGTTCGAATCCCGGTTCATCCCGATTATGTTTCTAGGTTTGTCAGTACCATACCCGTGCTCGTTGGTTCCACCGAAGTGAGACCTGCATCACTTCAGGCTTTCCTCCCACATGAAGCTGACACGCCGTGATATAACTGGAATACTGTTAAAAGCGGCGTTAAACCCAACTCACTTACAATGTTCTTTGAAAAGGTTCCAGGCAGTTTATTCGTAAAATGGCTGACAAGAATACAGTTTTTTTTACATCAAATACCGATAACGCCATTGACTGTTACTGGTCCTTAGACGCACAATACACGGACAAGGAGCTCAGAACACCATCCCCCGTGAAGATCCGGTTTAGAATTTGTATTCAGCAAGTCATGCTTGTCGTAAGAGGTGACTAATGGGATCGGGTGGTCAGACTCGTTGTATACTGTTGAGAGCGGCGTTAAACCCAACTCACTCACTCACTCTATAACCCTCGCAGAACAGGCAAGTAAAACACTGTATACCATCAAAACGCTTAGGCATAAATACCATTTTTATATCTATGAATAATGCCTTTCCAAAACTGAAACAAAAATAGTACCGATAGTGTTGTATGGTAGTGACTTGTGGTAATACACTCAAAGCGAAAATATAGAAATGGTACAAATTCTCATCTCATATTAGAAATTTGTTGTTTAGTTACGGCTCCGGACATGTTTGGATATCCCAGGGAGATGGTACTGAAGAAGCATGTATCTTTGTCCAGAAACAACGTATCCTCGATTGTGCTAAACAAAACTTGCATTCACGTCTCTAGATATACCAGACGAACGATCATTTGTCTTTTATTTAACACTGAAACAAGAATGTCCAAAAACTTAATGTACTCAATAACAGAAAGGTTTGGTTAAAATTTAGAAGTGGAAATAATACATTTGGTGTTCAAAACGTACGTAAAGGTAAATGTTGGTGATGAGGGGTCTCTCTGCTCGCACTGTAAATGTCCATAAGATGAAAAGCACGTTAAGTTTGTATGTCCTCTCACGGACAAGGAACTCATGTGGAGTAAATTTCATTCAATGGGGACCAATTTTGATCTATGTGCCAGGCTGCGATCTGTAGTTTTACAAGTTGCGAACGAGACGGAAATGCATGTCCATTTTTTTATTCAGTGTCTCCTTGATGACCTAATCAGATGTGCAATTACGAACTTCACATCAAGTCTACAGAAGGAAACGGAGAAATCTGTAGAATCCTTTACAGACGAAGACAACTCAGTCCTATTCTACATATCAGGATATTTAATTTATGCAATGGAGAAAAAATCAATGAAGAAAGGTACCGCCTCTGTATCTATTCTAACAAATCCCTGTGCGTCATCTACCCAGAAGTCTCCCGATTTTGTCACAAAGGTAAAAAGGTGGACAGTGAAAGTGAACCGTGTTGGTTTGAAAGTCTGTGGGGATAACTTTTTCTTTCTTGTCAGAAAAATAGAGACAATTTGCAGACTGGCAGTTAGTTTAAAGGGTCTGAACAGGGATGCAATTGCAAAGATGGCACTGAAAGAGGCAATAATGCAAGACATCACAGTTGGTTTTTACTGGGACAAGCCTATTGCCTCTGAGGACAAAATTAAAACCTCTATCTTGGAGAACATTGTGGACCTATTTTTAATACTCCGCGGAAGAGCAGTTGCAAAACATGTACAAAGACAATCCCAGAAGGAAAATGCTAAAGCAAGTTTAAAAGGGAAAAAGTCCCAATCTTTGAGGAAACGACTGCGAACCTACAATGATTCCTAGCTACGATGACAAAAAATATCTTATGTATATTGTAATTGTATAGTAACTCCCGGTTATCAACACAAAGCTAAACTGTATTTTAATCTTGTATGTCAAGTGTGACATATGTTGAATCACCCAAAGCATTTATTATACCTTGTGTACATACTTGAGTGCGTAACCTGCAAGAAGACTCGTCCCCCTATCGATGAATGTTATGTGCGAAAATACGACAAACCAATCAGAATGCGCGTATGATTTCAAGTTCTTTGTATCAAAATCCCTCAGAAATAATTTTTGATTTTACATATGTCTTGCATCTAAAAATATACCCAAGACACAGTTAAATGTGTTCACTCATACTGTATAATTCCGCACGTCCCGATGTGCTATAAATTGCATCTGAAATATATATAATATAGGGGAAAAATGTGTGAACCATTACGCAACGAGTTGACAATTGTTTTAGGTATGCCCGTTTGCACTAAGATGGTCGCAAAAATGGCCACGAGAGGAGCACGAGTGGCTATTCGGCTTGTCCAGGAATAACACGAGTTGGTCACGAATGAGTAGCGGGTAGAATGGTTTTGGACTATAATTAGAGTTATCTACCTTTGCGCTGTTTATGAACATGACAGGCTTGAACGTTCCAGAAGTTTCTGGATGGGACAGTTTCTAATAGACTGACTGTAGCTATACAGGGGCAGCAAGGGGTGATTCGAGGAGTTTGGACCCGACTTGTTTCTTATCAAGTGCGGATTGGACACAATGTTTGGTAAGACCGAATTCCTGTCAGCTTCCAACAGTATTCTTGATTCAAGAACGGAGACAGGCCTCTTTCAATACTTTCATCAGTGACAATATTCTGAACATTCCTGAGTGCACATACATTGATTCTAGGTCCCGTAACGTATTGCTGTTGCCACTAATATTGATTATTCATTGATCTTGTGTTTATTTATTTCAGTGCGTACCGATTTCTGGGTTAAACTTCGCGATTTAATTTGGAAACATAACACCGTAACAATTGTGCACTGTTGCTTCACCAACATCTGAAATAGTCCAGTCGAGTCGTCATGACAATGCATAGTCCACTGTGACGTTACCATGGCAATGAATGGTCCACTGTCACGTTGTCAACATAATGAATAGTCCACTGTCACGTCGTCGACATAATGAATAGTCCACTGTCACGTCAACATAATGAATAGTCCACTGTCACGTCGTCAATATAATGAATAGTCTACTGTCACGTCGTCAACATAATGAATAGTCTACTGTCACGTCAACATAATGAATAATTTACTGGCACGTCGTCAACCTAATGAATAGTCTACTGTCACGTTGTCAACATAATGAATAGTCCACTGTCACGTCAACATAATGAATAGTCCACTGTCACGTAGTCAACATAATGAATAGTCCGCTGTCACGTCGTCAACATAATGAACTGTTCAATGTCACGTCAACAAAATGAATACTCCTGTCAAGTCATCACAATGAATAAACATCGTAATACATCGGGGATATTGAGGCTAGACACCGAACATAACGCAACACAACGCGCATGTGAAGGTTTCATATCATAAACATATATTGATAGGCTGTAAAGACTAACATCAATAGAGAATTGAATAGAAGTTAGATGGGCCATTCCTTCAAGCATATATTCCATACACCTGGTCAAGCATCCTGTGTTACAGGGGTATGTAGGACAACTTACCTCGGACCGGTCAGCCAGTGAGTGAGCAATGTGTTGATGTGGTGGGATATTGATTTCCGGGTGGGTTTTAAAATGCCAGCTGAAAACGTGTTGCCTCTAACGCCGACAAGGTTTTGTTCCGAGAGAAATTGCGACATCTGTTGTAGACATGCATTGAACTGGAATCGACCTGTGTCACGAACACCACTGAATACTCCGTGTGTTGTCGATGAATTTTAAAGTCACAAAAAACAAATGGCGACTAAACCTTCTAGTACTGAAGCTTTTGCACATGTGACTTCAATGCATGGTTCTGAAAAATCCATGACAATTTGTGTGTGTGCGTGTGTGTGTGTGTGTGTGTGTGTGTGCGTGCGTGCGTGCGCGCACAGGATGTGTTTTTTGTAGTGAGTGAGTGAGTGAGTGAGTGAGTGAGTGAGTGAGTGAGTGAGTATAGTTTTACGCCGCTTTTAGCAATATTCCAGCAATATCACGGCGGGGGACACCAGAAATGGGCTTCACACATTGTACCGTTTTTTGTAGGCTAGTATATATAAAAGACCATGGGCGTATGTTCAATAGCGTGAGCATTCTGACCTTGATACGTAACCTTGAAGGGTATGCCTAAAAGCGGATAACATTATTAACGTAAGGCAGAGCAGTTTGCATTCAAATTGCATTTTCAGCTCCCTGGGGAGAATAGGTTGAAATAGATCAGTGCACCAAGAATGGGGTGTTATTCTCGTTCGTACTGACCTCATCATTAACAGATTTGTTTAAAGAAATGAAACACTTTGTCACCTTTGACTGTGCAACATCTTTCTCTTGCCTAGTTTGTGTGCGATCTGTAGGTTGGTAGATCTATCACCAAGTATTTATTATCGATGATAATTTCCTTTCATAATTATGCAGCATATTCATTTATCGACCTGCCCTTAAAGTCGATGGTAGGTGTTTAAATGTGTAGACAATATGCACTGTATATGCATTCTTAAAGAGGTAAACTTTTTATACAACATGCACGTCCTAAAAATGAAGAGTGGGTGAGTGAGTGAGTTGGGTTTAACGACGCTTTTAACAGTATTCCAGTAATGTCACGGCGTGTCAGCTTTATGTGGGGGGAAAGCCAGAAGTGATGCAGGTCTCACTTCGGTGAAACCAGCGAGCACGGGTATGGTGCTGACAAACCTAGAAACATAATCGGGGCGAACCGGGATTCATACCCACAAGCATAGGTTTCTGGCGTGCCAAAGGGACGCAACTCTGCACAGCGAATCGCGGCGCCTCAGACGACTGGGCAACCCGTGCCCCTTTGAGGGTATTAGAAGCTGTAGTCAATATCAGCAAAGGAGTTATCATTTGACCCAGATATTTACAGGACCTAACAGTTTTACGTGGTACAAAGGACCATCTTTGATGTCTTGAGGGTCTGCCACCATGTTTGAATACAATAATAGTAGGTTTTTTGTGTGCCTTAGACGACTGGGCCACCCGTGCCCCCTAAAAATGAAGATGAAGACCGAGAATGAGGTCCTGTGGAAAAAAAAGTGAGACCTGAGAGAGATTAGGTAAAAAAAAGTAAGTAAAAAGTATGTCAGAAAAATTGAAAAAATATGTCGAGTATGGAGCAAACACACTATTGGCTGGATTTGGAAAATATCTGCTGACGACTTGGCGGTGCACATGCTTTCCAAATCCTGCAATCGATTGAAATCTGCACGACAGTTTACGAACCGGATTTTGATTTCGGTGCGCGATTTTGATTAGTCTATGCATAGACTCGTTAGTCCAGACAAAATGTAACTCCATAATACCAGCCTAGTTCGGCAAGGGTGGAAACTGAACTTTTATAGCCAGTTAACTCTCTTGCCTCTGGAAGATGGCCACAAAAAGAAACTGTGGATTGTGAAAATTATTTCAAAATTTGAAAATATACTAACAATGAAAAGTTTCCATGTAAACTTTAATAGGTGGATATTGAATCATCAGACGACAGCATAACAGCATGTTTAAAGTCAATGACATTGACTTTACGAGTCCAAATGCGGGGCAGGGGTGAAACAGCAATGTCACAAACTCAATAACGGGTATGCCCAAAGGGGGAGCGATAACAGCAGTGCATAGTGGACGAGTAGGAGTCTATCAAATGGGCATGGAGGACTTATGGAATGGCTTTCGATATTTCCTTCAACTCTGCTCCAAAATCACGAACTTTATCTGGCGGATTCGGTACACGGCGTAGACGTCGCACCATTTCATCCCAAAAGTGATCTATAGGGGAGAGATCAAGTGAATTTGGAGGCCAAGCCAGTAATTAAGAAGAAGAAGACCCCTAGAAACCCTATCCTATCCTGTTAGAATGTCAATCCTGGGTCATGACGATGAAGAAACGGCATTGCCACTGGTCCGAGAATCTGATCTCCGTAGCCAAAACCTAAGGGGTTCTCTGACGTGCACTTATCCCACCCAAATCATCACAGAACCACCCCCAAAGCGATTCCTCTCCATGATACGGGCTTGAGCATAACTCTCCCCTTGACGTATGTAGACACGTAGATGTCCGTCACTTTGGGATATGTTAAATCTGGACTCGTCTGTAAAAACAACAGTCCTCTAACACAACCGAGGTTGACGGACGTGATTTCGGCTACACCTTGACGGTCTTGTCGATGACATTGCGTCAGGATAGGTCGTAAGAACTGTTCTTGTTGAGCTACAGGTTTATTATCAAGTTGGTAAAAAAAGGGAACCTGGATTTCATCCCTTCTTTGAGCACAGATGAATGGGGAAATAAAGAGCAGAGGCCAGTATACAAATATCAGAAACCTCCAAACACAATCCAACAACCAGTCAGAATGACAGAGATTAAAACTGGCATTTTTACCGCAATGTCAACCAGAAGGAAACAGTGACATAGTATCACCCGCACTGTAGCTCACCTGGATATGTAGTCAACAATTTAAAATGTCAACAAAGACAGACACCTACAAAAGTTTCTCGGTATTGATATTCAAATAGTTTCTGCATACATACTGAGGACTGAAAACTAACACTAAAATTTTATGATTTGAACAAAATCTGATGTCTTCATGAGAAACTTCCGAAGCTGGCCAATTTCAGAGAAGTTTACAGAGCCAAAATGCCTTGGAGAGAACTTAAGAGCATGGTCAGAACAGGGTCAAACTAAACACACTACTAACTGTGCACATGTATCAAATTTTATTCCATTTTCAACAAAAATGACTAAGTTTTGGCCAAATGACAGTGGGGTGGCCATAAGTAGCTTTTCAATATGGCTGGCAAGGTGGCCATATTGAAATCAAATCTGAACCTTTTCAAAAGATTCTGGTGTCATCACTGTGGAAACAAGCATGTAGGTTTAAACTGTATTGGTCCAGTGCTTTCCGAGGAGAAGATGTCTATGACACATGACAAACACAGGACGGATGATGGACAAACTCACTCATCTTCCTGTGTCCGCTTGCCTATATCAAGGCCTAGTTTCTACCCTTACCACAGCAAGGCCACTCTCTTGGCTCGACCCAGGCGCCACCTTGTGTAGATCATGAGTGCGCTCCTTGTAATGAAAATGCGATATCCAATAAGATCGCTGTTCTTATCTTGTATGGCTTCACAAAAAACCATAGGCGAAGACCTTGTCGATCAGATAACGAAAATATCCGCGATTTCATCCCTGACACAAAAACATAGGCAACCGTTAGGGGATTTAACAAACGAACAAGACATATTCCTTTCAACAAAGACAGGCAGTCGTAAATCACTTTCATACGAAGGTGTACCAGTTGGATGTTGATTTTGTGATAGTCCAATCATATTTAGCACAGGAAAGTGGGCTTGATGTGGCAAGGGTGGAAACAAGACTTTGATAAAAAAGGCGAGTGGACGCTCTTGCCCAGGGAAGATGAATCTCACATGGCATACTGTAAGGCAAGCCAAAAACAACATGTTTCACCAACACCTCCAGGCCAGGTAAGAGAAAGAAATCAGTTGACAAACAAGACTCAATAAAACAGCAAAATACAAAATTTATTATGAAAATAAAATCCATATTACAAATATAACAGGTAATATTTCATGGAATAAAATTTACATCAACGTGATGAAGAATCTTCGTTGTGGGACCGGTGTTTCAGCCCATAGTGATCCTTCCTCCGCAACAACTTCTCTGGTGGGTCAACAACATCAGGCTCATCATATTTTGTTGTTATCAAAGTCTCCGTCCGAATGAACTGCCTCTTAATGTTCTGGGCTCCGAATCGAATGAGTTTCTCACCATGGTACCTGAACGAAACAAAACAGTGGTTAAAATATGAAGAGGTTCCAGGCAATATCTGTTTTGCTGCTTTGGTCTCTCATTGGCCAAGACAGCCTCCGTGGTCTAGTGGTAGAGCGTCCGCCCGGAGAGTGGAAGGTTGGACGTTCGATCCCCGGCCGCGTCATACCAAAAGACGTTAAAAGATGGTACTTGTTGTTACCCTGTCTGCAGCTCGGCATTAAGGGGCTAAAACAAGGACTGGTCAACTCAGAGTCAGTATACTGTGTCTGAGTGGGGAATTCATGTTAAACTGCAGCATGGTATCTCAGTGGGCTAGCACTTTTGTGAGTGAGTGAGTATGGTTTTACGCCGCTTTTAGCAATATTCCAGCAATATCACGGCGGGGGACACCAGAAATGGGCTTCACACATTGTAGCCATGTCGGGAATCGAACCCGTGTCTTCGGCGTGACAAGCGAACGCTTTAACCACTAGGCTACCCGACCGCCCCGCTAGCACTATAGATCGGCATCAGCCCGGACTAGTACAAGCAGCCACACACACAGACACACACATGCATGCACGTCGCTATATAAGTGCAATAATCTTGAACATGACGTTTTGTTAGGTATGTTGGGTATAACTGACATTTCAGTCCTGTTACGATATACACTCCAAGTTCAGAATTGTTTGTTTGTTTGTTGTTTAAGGCTACAGTCAGCAATATTCCAGCTTATGACGGCGGTCTGTAAAAAATCGAGTCTGGACCAGACAATTCAATGATTGATATCATGAGCATCCATATGCGCAATTGGGATGCGATGACATGCATCAACAAAGTCAGCGAGCCTGACCACCCGATTCCGTTAGTCGCCTTTTACGACAAGCATAGTAGCCTTTTACGGCAAGCATGGGTTGCTGAAGACCTATTCTACCCCGGATCTTCTCAGGTAAGTTATGACATGGTACAGACAGACCAATGATGGCAATTGGGGCTGGGATTTGAACCCAAACTGAAGGCTTTCAATTCTCCAATATACATCTGATAAAGACAAGTAAAATATGACTGGGAACAGTAAACTAAATGACTGTCTGTTCCTGTCTCGGTAGGAAAACGTTACCTGTGCTACTGTAATCAGTCCATCTAACATGTTTAGTGAGTGAGTGAGTAACGCCGCTTTCAACATTCCAGTTATATCAAGGCGTGTCAGCCTAATGTGGGAAGAAAGCCCGAAGTGATGCAGGTCTCAGACATTTACAACTTCGGTGAAACCCACGAGCATGGGTATGGTGCTGACAAACCTAGGAACAAAATCGGGGCAAACCCGGTTTCGAACCCACAATCATAGGTGTCTGGTGAGCCCGAGGGTCGCAACTCTGCACAGCGAATCGCGGCGCCTTAGACGACTGGGCCGCCCCTACACCCTCTAACTGTCATATGTCATCCCAACAACATCATCTGAATAATGCAATCTATATCACATCATGTCCTGAAATGGCTGATGACAGTACCAGCCACACTAACCCAAATCCCTTCTTGTCCCGAGGGTGTTGACCATCGTTGTCCAGGGCATCTGATATTCCGGTGATGGTGTTCCCCAACCCCTGACCTTCCTGCCAGCCCTGGCGTTCTAGCACTTTCCGTCCAATGCCCTTTGTATGCTTCTCAAACTTCCCAATGCCCACAGAGAACCTGTCTGTTTCTTCCAGGCCCTCGCGTCGACGCTGTTCCTGACGGAGGGTGATGTAGTCCCTGGCGTCACCGTCCCCAGCACCATCCTCGTAATAACCACTCATATCAACATTCAGGTCATCCGCTGTCTGCTCATCAAAATCTGAAACATGTGTCATATTTGTATCACACTTGTTTCATATTTGCATCACACTTGTAACATATTTGTTTCACATTTGTTTCATATTTTTATCATTTCTTTCATATTTCTTTCATTCTTGCATCGTAATTGTATCATATTTGTATCATCTTTGCATCATATTTGTATCATTTGTACCATGTTTGCTTCATATTTGTTTCTTATTTTGTATCCCATACTTGAAAGGCTTGCATTTGACATTCAGATAACACAAGAAAAGTGTACACAAACATCGGCAAACACTTTATAACAGAACTGTACACAGTTTTAATCTAGATATAAAATATTGAATACAGAAAAAGTACACCAGCCCACTGCCACACTACACCTGCCCACTGCCACACTACACCTGCCAACTGCCACACTACACCAGCCCACTGCCACACTACACCTGCCCACTGCCACACTACACCTGCCAACTGCCACACTACACCAGCCAACTGCCACACTACACCTGCCCACTGCCACACTACACCTGCCCACTGCCACACTACACCTGCCCACTGCCACACTACACCTGCCAACTGCCACACTACACCAGCCCACTGCCACACTACACCAGCCCACTGCCACACTACACCAGCCCACTGCCACACTACACCAGCCCACTGCCACGCTACACCAGCCCACTGCCACACTACACCAGCCCACTGCCACGCTACACCAGCCCACTGCCACGCTACACCAGCCCACTGCCACAATACACCAGCCCACTGCCACACTACACCAGCCAACTGCCACACTACACCAGCCCACTGCCACGCTACACCTGCCCACTGCCACACTACACCAGCCCACTGCCACACTACACCAGCCCACTGCCACACTACACCAGCCCACTGCCACACTACACCAGCCCACTGCCACACTACACCAGCCCAGTGCCACACTACACCCTCCACCTACCTCCCTCCTTCTCCTGCCAGTACTGGGCGTCAGTGTAGAACACCAGCCCACTGCCACACTACACCAGCCCACTGCCACACTACGCCCTCCACCTACCTCCTTCCTTCTCCTGCCAGTACTGGGCGTCAGTGTAGAACACCAGCCCACTGCCACACTACACCAGCCCAGTGCCACACTACACCAGCCCACTGCCACACTACACCAGCCCAATGCCACACTACACCAGCCCACTGCCACACTACGCCCTCCACCTACCTCCCTCCTTCTCCTGCCAGTACTGGGCGTCAGTGTAGAACACCAGCCCACTGCCACACTACACCAGCCCAGTGCCACACTACGCCCTCCACCTACCTCCCTCCTTCTCCTGCCAGTACTGGGCGTCAGTGTAGAACACCAGCCCACTGCCACACTACACCAGCCCACTGCCACACTACACCAGCCCACTGCCACACTACACCAGCCCACTGCCACACTACACCAGCCCAATGCCACACTACACCAGCCCAATGCCACACTACACCAGCCCACTGCCACACTACACCAGCCCACTGCCACACTACACCAGCCCAATGCCACACTACACCAGCCCAATGCCACACTACACCAGCCCACTGCCACACTACACCAGCCCACTGCCACACTACGCCCTCCACCTACCTCCTTCCTTCTCCTGCCAGTACTGGGCGTCAGTGTAGAACACCAGCCCACTGCCTCCCTTCTCCCACTTAAGTTCAATCTCCTCCTCAAACAGCCTCTCCTTTAGTCTTTCCTGGTTGTCAGGGTCGTCTGTGACGGCTTCGTGCCTCTCCCACTCCTCGCAGGAATCGTTGTCCTGGAAACATACACATGTTCAAGTTTCGGCAATAAGGACAATAACCATTTTTTTTCACAATATTCAACCATTTTAACAGCAAGGATCACCAGGAATGAACTTCAAATGAAGCACCATGAACTACTCAGCACCTTCTCACCACCCTATAGGACTTATAGAATCTAGTACTTGGTATTTCAGCACCAGTGTTCTGACACAGTTGAGGCCCAGCCCCAATACTTTCTTGTTGCAAATGCACCCTACATGTTTAAAAAGAAAGAGAAAGAAGATGCATGTCTGTTTTTTGTACTTGGGAATATGCTTTTCTTAAAAATCATTTTTGTGGCATTTATGGTAAAGTTTAAATTTTAAGATGCTTTCCTAAAGAAAATAACCTTAGATCAACTCTGGCATTTTCTAGTTTTCCTTCCACCTCTCGACATACTGAATGGGTGAATAAGTTGAGTTTTACACTGCATTGAACAATAATCAAGTTACATCACAGCACGTCGGAGGAAAACCCAAAGCGATGCAAGTCTCAGATGTTTACCACTGGGTGAGACCCACGAGCACAGGTAAGGCACTGACAAACCAGGAAATATAATCATAGCAAATCCGGGATTTGAACCCACAATCACAGCTTTCTGCCATGCCCAAGGGACACAACTCTGTATATCGAATTGGGGCACTTTAGACGACTGGGCTATCCATGGTCCCCTATTAACATATTGACAAAGAACATTTGCAAACAAGAATTCAAATTGGACTGACTAAAATTAAAAATTTCAGGTTTACATTTTCAATAACACGATTCTAAACTCACCTCATTTGAATCTTCATGCTGCATCATCATTTTCTCCTCTATCTTTTCATCCATCAACTTCTTTGTTTTCTTCCTCTCCTGTTTCTTCCTCGCTTTCTTCTCCTTCCTCGTCAACTCCTTTTCTTCATCCTTCCTCTGCTCCCCATCCTGTACCAAAGTGGACTCTTCCATGTTCCCTACAATGGACCCATCAACACTGACAAGTTCATGACCCTCTCCCGTGTAAACTGTCCAATCAGCTTCCTCTTCATCATATTCGTTACCATGGTTACGATAAGACCTAGGTCCAGCGTACTCATAAGGAACACTACCATATTTCCGGTTTGTGCGGGTTTTGGGGAAGGAAAGGCCGAGTTTCTTTATCACCGATGGAGGGAGTCGACACTCTTTGATAAAGTCAAGAAAGTCCTTTGTGGGTGTGCCAACGTTTCCATGTGGCATGATGTCGGGAGGATGCAACTCCGGCAAGTTGAGGAGATCGGAGGATGTGAAATCTCTGCTGTCAGAGGGAGTCAGTTTTATTTCGGATCTAGTTTTGTATACTTGTTCTCTCTGTTGGTCAACTGAAACCGAGCAGATACGGTGTGTTAATGAATTGAAGGTAGCAGATTTTTCAGTTTGATGCTTTGAAGGTTTGCAAAATAACATAACTTCAAATCGTACTACCCATCATAAAATTAAATGCTAAATTTGATTACATCAGGCAAAACAAAATAAAAAAAATTGGTTCTCAGGCAATGACTCTTGAAAATAAAGTGCAGGCGGTGTTTTTTGGTTTTTCGGCTTGTTCAAACTAATATGTAACCAAATAAACAAGCAAGTATAAATAAGCATCCAAACTCCTATTGCCGCCATGACCATAACACGTGATGCGCTGTAAAGCACTGCGCATGTAAAGGGAAGTAACTGCATGCTATATTGGATTGCATTGTTTTTAAGTATTAGCATTTTTATATTCTTTTTAAAATGGAAACAAAAAACGAAACGTGCGGCAGACATTTGATGATGTGGGCGGAGTCTGAGAACCAAGACTTTTTTTTTTCGCCTAAAAATATCTGAAAAAGTCTGACTTAAGCAGTCATGCAAGTTAAACACAAACTGGTTAAAGCCAACAACCTCTTGTTATAACTGGGATCACATTGAACAGGGAGTATTACATGCAAAAACGGGGCAAATAAGTTCCCAGGCACCACCCACATCATCATAAAGTCTGACGCATGTTTCGGGTTTTTTTCCATTTTAAAAAAGATAGAAAAAGTCCTAATACTTAAAAAATATGTTATCCAATATAGCACACAGTTACTTCCCTTTACATGCACACTGCTTTACTGCGGATCTCGTGTTATGGTCATGGCAGCAATAGGAGTTTGTATGCTTGTCTATGTAGGGAGGCCCTTTCCCAGTTGATGGTGCACAACTGTTTATTTGGTTATATACTGGTTTGAACAAGCTTTAAAAACCTATTCATTGGGATCTCTATTAAGTAAGAGAGTTCTTTCTATAGGCATTAAGACCTATTGTGAGGTTTTCCTTTGAAGTAAAACCTATTATGAGGTTTTATTTTCGTTCGGGAGGTTTTACTTTGAATGTAAAACCTCAAATCCTAGGTTTAACCAAGTTACTGAAAAAAAGACAACAAGTAGCAATTCAAAATTTTAATTCAATTAAAACTGAATGTCATGTGTACAGTTCCGCGTGGACATTCAAAAGCGACATCATTTCAGAGTCTCTGGTGAAAGGACAGCGAGGTTTCAAAACACATGCTTTTAAACAAGTGCTTATCAATGATGCACAATTTGCACGTGCAGTAACTGCTAGCCGTTACGTCACAACTACCTCTATGTAACAGTTGGATTGTTTAAAGCCGAAAATCTTGTAAAGCAAAAAAAAACACCTTTAAAATTTGCGAATTTTCGTTTTGAAAAGTTTAAAAGAAGTGGAATATTGCAACACAAACATTTAGAAACCGAAGATTTCACTTTCATTTAAAAGTAAGTATTTTAGTTGTGTTTTGTTTTTGACACATCCAAGTGCTCTTGAACGCCTGGCAAGTCAGCGAATTTCACGTGCAAGTTATGATATCACGTCTTCAAGGAAGCGCTATAATGAAGCGCCTCATTTATAGATGCTCGTTATAACATTTAATCAATTTAGACAGTTTATAAGTATGGAAAAATACTTTCCCTCGGTTTTGGTAAACAGAGCATGCCCTGGGGAGAGGGAAAAACCGTGGGGGCTTCGCCCCCTTGGTTTTTCCCTCTCCCCAGGGCATGCTCTGTCTACTAAAACCTTGTAAGCGTGTTTTCTCCAATACATAAAAAAACTAAAACTTTCAAAGTAATTGCCTGAGAACCAATTCTTTATTTTTTTTAAGCCTTAAGTATCTCTATTCATATTGCATCATGACTCTCAAGTATCGCATTATGGATCGATATGTGCGTTAAGCACATCAGGCAAGCCCTAAGCCCTTGTGTTAGCTGTGTACCTGATCTTGAAATTTGAAACTTGCATGAATCAAAGTGTGGGTGCCTCTTATAGGGCCAGGGGCGGTCGGGTAGCCCAGTCCCGACATGGATACAGTGTGTGAAGCCCATTTCTGGTGTCCCCCGCTGTGATATTGCTGGAATATTGCTAAAAGCGGCGTAAAACCATACTCACTCACTCACTCACTCACTCTTATAGGGCAAAATTTACCATCCCGGTACCCGACCTCCTATTACACAACCCTACCCAGGTACTCACTGTAGATTTCAAGAGTTGGGAACAAAATGTCCGATTGGAAATTGGTTCACTCGAACCCTGGCAAAAACTGTCTACTATTGATCATTCATACACTGAAGTTGATTGAAGCTTTGTCTTTACTCAAACATATAGAAAAGTCAGAAGGAATGGGTGCATAGTCAGACAGATATTCAAGCATCATGGAGTTTTATTATCATTGTCATTAAACAATATATCATGTAATTAACCAGGGGTCCGGGTTGTCATGTGGGAAGCCAGGTCCTACTCAGGACCCATAGGACCCAAGTCATACGCAGATACGCAGGGGGGTCCTGGGGGTCCTCTTCCTTTTAAAAATGCTGGATCTGCCCTTGCAAGTGACACATCCTCAAGTGAGGACAAGGTGGATAGAATGGGGTGTGAGAGTTTCAATGTACCCCGAAGACGTTGATCGTTGCTCATGCCTTCAACCACTGGTTTAAATAAACTTGTATATTTCAGAGCTCCAGATAAGCTTTTGGTGTTGTAGGTATTTTACCCATGCATTTTAAAATCATTGGGTATCAGTAATTCTATCTGCGTATTCTAATTTCTGTTACCCACTAGTTTTTACACAAGTGGGTATTTAAGTTAAATATTTCAAAACACTATTCATCTAGTCCCTGCAAACTGGTGTCGTGTGGGTTCGAGAGCTTTATAGGACTAAAAAATACTGCGATACTTCCACAAGAAAGTGTGATGCCAAATGATCATGATGTAACTGTCATCGTGGAGTTTGGCAAGGTTGACGGAATGCCCGTTTATAATTTCAAAATAAGTTGCTGATTTGCTAATCGAATACGCAGGGTTACTTCACAATATTTTGATGATACGCACAAGTTTTATTTTTGTAGCGTATCTGTAATGTTCGTTGCGTACTTGATACGCTTCGATTATATTTTACTGTGTATTTCTGCATTTCTGATGCGTATTTCACGCAGATACGCAGCTTATCTGGAGCTCTGTATTTACTGGCTGCCTTGGTATATCTGGACTGCTGGATGTGGTATAAAAAAAGATTCACCATCTCTAATGCTGTGACTAGTCAGCAGGTAGCTCTACAACCAAACTCTCATTTTGCCTACCGACTTACCGTCTTCTGTAAGCTTAATCTTTGTAATATGGCAATAACTTGAGATAGAATCGCCATTCCTGTCCAGCCAATGTTTTCTGTGATACATTTTGAGAAGTGTCACTAAGTTGTCGGCTTTGAGTCGGACAACACAACAAGTTGTGCCCCTCCGGACCGGGTCACTGGTACCTGCACGACTGATCGCTGATTTCACTTCATCGTCAGTCTCTTTTTCCGGAACTTTCTTCGCTTGTGTTTCTGGCCGATGACGGAAATGAAAACAATCAAAACCACGTGTTTCAATAAATTGTGAAAAATAGTTCCTGATGTCTTTGGAATGGTAATCTGGAGGTATATTGTTGATAATTGCGTACAGCATGCTGTCATTCTGTTTATGTTTCTCTTTGGCTGCCATTTTCTATACGGTGATGAATGAATTTCCTCCCTGCGTATTACAAGGACACTTTGGAGAAACACTACGTCTGGTTGTAAGCTTAATGAAACTTTACGTCGACTGCTATGCTCTATATATCTATTTAGCCTGATCTTTTACACTTAATGATGGAAGAGAGGTTATAAATTATATACGTGCAGACAAAAATTAAGCAATCGTAAAAAAAATTTAACTGGTATACGTTTTCATTTAACACCGTTCAGGGGAAAACCCTACGTCGGGCATACGTCACAGAAGGATTATTTTTAGAACAGGAACGTCCATTTTGAGAATAACTGATTTTGACCTAGTGTCGTGCGACTAAAGTCGATATGGATAAATCCAAATGCCTTTATATTCAAATTATACAATGAATCTATTATTTGTAGAGTGAAATAAACTAAACACTAAAACTACATGTCCGTTACAATGGCTTGTTAAATTTTAAATGGTACTTGCTACCCCTGCAGGTAAAACTATGAGTTCGCCCCACTGGAAAAGTATCTTCAAAACAACTAGTGTCATATCCGTACCGGCGTTCTCTGTCGAAACAAAAACCAACAACAAAAAAGATTGTTTTCCTGACCATAGTACCTGAGAGCAAATTACATGGTCTAATGATTCAACGGGAAATTTTCCCGAAAACATTTGAACCTAGCGAGAAACGATACGAAAGCCATGCTTTTGCTAATACGTTTATATGCACATATGTTTCAACAAGTTTCCTTTGAAAACCTCTCCGTTTTATTGATCCCAGCAAGATTTATTAATCGTCTCATAGCTCCAGTTTATGAATGACATATTTCAATCTTGTAAAAACACAAGACTCTTCCGGTATAGAGTGATGTCTCGATATTGACACCGCGTACTATTCAGATTTGACGTAAAATGTTAATGAGTGTGTGAGTGAATGAGTTTTACGCCGCTTTTAACAGTATTCCAGTCATATCACGGCGTGTCAGCTTAATGTGGGAGGAAAGCCCCAAGTGATACAGGTCTCAGACGTTTACCACTTCGGTGAAACCCACGAGCACGGGTATGGTGCTGACAAACCTAGAAACATAATCGGCGTGAACCGGGATTCGAACCCACATTCATAGGTTTCTGGCGTGCCCAAGGGACGCACCTCTGCACAGCTAATCGCGGCGCCTTAGACGACTGGGCCACCCGTGCCCCCTAAAATGTTAATGTTAATGACCTAAGACAAATAACTTACAACTTTTAAATGAATCTACAAAAATATGAAAACCAATATTAATGGAATTAGTTTGGCCCGATGATTTTTTTTTAAAATTTGGTTTTCGAATAATTGAAATGTGAAAACATAAAAGAAAAGCAGTGTCTTTTTACATTCTGCCTACCAGAAATAAGTTAAATGTTAAAAAAAAACCCAACACATTAACTGTCGCTATAATTATAGATAAATTATAAAGTACTTAATAATCTGTTGCAAATTTATCTTAAAAATCAATATTTTTGTGTGTTTTTACCCCCATCTACTTCACATTTGGAGGAAATACAAAAATATGTTTACAAATCGGAAATATTCATTTTGGGACAAAGATCCTTTAAAAAATCATGTGCGTGTGTGCGTATATATATGTGTGTTGTACGTCTGTATGATTGTTAGTGAGCGTGCGAATTATGTGCCCGTGTGCGTGCGTGTGCGTGTGCGTGTGCGTGTGCGTGTGCGTGTGCGTGTGCGTGTTTAATTAATGGATCCAAACCACACTAAGGAAATAGTGAGGTGATATCAATAGCAACCCGATTTGAACTTGTCATTGATGTTTGTGTTACGGATATATTTTAAGAATGGATCGAAGATCTGGTTAAAGTTGAACCTCATTAATGTCACCAGTTTACATTCATTGTTAAAAGGATTAAATAATTTCGAAGAATGTGTTTGTATTTCAATGACATTTTTTTCTGTGAAACCCGTTATTTCCCCCAAAAAACTAAAGACTATTTGTGGGAACGCCCATAAATGTACAAAAGGAAACTATCTATACCAATGATTGAGAAAATAGATAATCTCTATATTAGTAGAATCTCTACATATAGTACTGTCGGGTTAAAGCGAAGGTGTGTTGATTTACATCATTTTACGTGTAGTTGATCACAATAAAACCTTTGTCGAATTTAATTTTAAGCAAGGGTCAATACAAGAGAGATGGTTTCTATCGTCAATTTATTCAATTCGTTGCAGGCGGGGTGGATTATCAATTTTCAATATGTGATCGCGATGTGGATTTTTCAGTCTGACTGTACAACAGAGTACCTTATAAAAAAGAAATATCAGCAGTTTCTAGGAAAATACAATGCTAGGATTAGTTTAAGTCACGTGGTCTCTGTGAGTCAGATTCCCGGCAAATTAATGAACCAAGCACTGTCACTGTTGAGGTATACAGCCACGACAACCCGGAACTGAATGCATCAGTGGCAGCGTGACATTCAGATATCAACGTGTTAATTGGATTATTCTTGACAGGTAAGCTTCATTGATTGTAAAGAATAACCCGATTGTAGTCTGAGAATTCTCGTGTCGGCCCGGGACAGCTTGGTGATATTTGACAGCACCAGTTGCATGTTCTCGAACACCAAGCAAACTTCGCCGGCAAGATGAAGTGCACGATCAAATATTGACTTACTGCACTGAGCGGTTTAGAAAACTGCCTGTTCTCTAAGAATAACTACTGTCGAGAAGCAGTATACATGACACACGTGGATGTGTCATCCGCCAGTCACCCTTGCCAATGTCGGAACACATTTTTACTAGAATACGATAATGCCTACAGATCAATGACGGAAATCTTAAATCAATTCCTTTTAAATCGAAACTGTCAAATCGGAGCCATTAGTTTGATGATTGTGAGCTTATTTCCATTGAAATAGGAATTCGGATATTATAATACTCATAATAATTTATTTTTAATATATCATTTTCGGCAATTTCATTTAAGACTTATAATATTTAGCCCTCAAGTTAAAGATTTTATGGCCCTATGAATCATTAAAAAAGCACTATAATATTATATGTCAAACATTTGAATGTAGGATTTTAGCATATATATGCTGTTCCTTCATCAAATCCAAATTCATATATTTCATCATCTTGTTACATACCAGTAGTACATAGATCTGTGATTGAAAAAAATATAGATCTAGTATATTATATCTATATGTAAAAAATGTTTTGGTAATGATCATATGGTTGTCAACTGAACATGTTGTTTAACGCCGCACTCAGCATTATTCCAGCTATATGACGGCGGTCTGTAAATAATCAATGCAATTGGGATACGATGACATGCATCAACCAAGTCAGCGAGCCTGACCACCCTGTCCCGTTAGTCGCCTATTACGGCAAGCATGGGTTGCTGAAGAGCTATTCTACCCCGGATCTTCACGGATCGAACATGTTTTGAATATATCGTAGGTGGTTTTGAATATATCGTAGGTGGTTGTGTTATTGAATACTGCTTTAATAGATTATATTCAACCAAACCCACCACTGTCAAGTATCAAATGCTCTGTTCTTGTGTTGGTTCAATGTCGTTTTCAATCACAGCCTTATGGAATTGGTCGATTGCGATAGTAGCTATTGGCACATTTGGATTATGCTAACAGTTTAGCTTTCATGTAACCATGGAGACCACATGCACGGCTACAGCTTTCAACATGGAATAATTCTGTAGTATTACAATGTAATCATTCTTACATTTCATGAATCGGTTTACAGTGCTACAAGTATCATACAAACATGAATGTCAGAATGATCCATGCAATCCAATCAATGTGAAAGGTTTTAAGCTTAATGGAGATTGCATTTTGGTCTTACTAGAATGGTTGCAATTTCAGCTGGAGTAGAAAAATGTCAGTAACTTGGTCAAGACTACAAGACCTTTATCATGTTTATGTGGTTTGTAATGATAACAATAAAATCAATTTAATTTGAAATCAATACTTTTTATATGATATTCATCAGATACTAGGGCTGGCTAAAACGTTTGATAATCGGAATCATCGTCGATGTAATGAATTATTAATGATTATTGATATGAATAATAAATAATAAGTAATTATGATGACATAAAGTTTAGTTTTACTGAAACAGACTTTGCCAAGGATGGAAAGCAACTGTATTTGTATTAACTTAGATGTCCTCAAAGTAATCCATGCATAAATCTGTCACCAATCACCAGTGGCATGAAGTATTTTGATTTCTTTCTGACTTTATTGCATATTTGCTTAAAGTTACTTCTCCGATATTTATCGATAATTGATCAATATTTAGTTAACGATTATCGATCTCTGTAATCTGTGTGTTTTCTGTTCCATTGACATGATAAAGTACATACATATGGATAAAATGAGTGAAAGTGTCAATTAGTTTAATATTTTAGAAAATATAACCATAGTAAGTCAATTACCCAAGATGATTTTTTAACCATAAGTTTATAATGCCTTTAACAACATCTACAGAGAAATTAAGCCTGAGCTAAAAACTTACTCATGTTCAAATATCAGAAAAACTCTTCCAGAAAATCTAAATTCAGCTGTTGTATTTTTTAGCCCTTTCACCATGTTCACCACATTTTGTGTTTTGAATCCAAACATGAATGTGTTGACAAGGAAACGGTTTCATGTTCATTCATTGTAACACATCTGATGAATTTCATAACGGTTTCCAAAATTTCCCAAACCATAATCAACGTAATAAGCGCCCAGGGCGCTCTCAAAGTTAGAAATAGGGGGCTCTGATTTGAATAATATTTTGGTGGAAAAAACAGAGTTGAAAGATAAATTTCGTGGTTTATGCTGACAGACTGAAATGTAATATGTGACAGATATTTTTTTTCCAGAATTTAATTGCCCATAATTAAGAATGCATATAACACACGAGTGTGTATTATACGAGAATAAATTTTTCTTGTGTACATTGATCAATCGGAAGGGGTGCAAATTGGGATGGTTCACTCGCCAATATATTAGCAAATATCGCCGTGGGCGCTTATTAGAGCAGGGCACTTATTACGTCAATTATGGTATTAATAATGCAGATCCTGTTGGCCAAACAGGGTGACCTTTTCATACCTTGTCCTTTCATGGTGAGCTGTGAAATATTTTGGTTTCCTATTTTTATTGAAATATTGTTTGTTGAAAGGCTTGTTTACAGCTTGGCTACAACTGCCATATTTGTCTTGCAAGAAGATTGATGACAGAAATAAAATGCTGGTTAAGACGGTAAATATTCTTCCACGGAAGTGAAATTTATATGTCACACTTTGGACCGGAAGAAATGATCAGTATATTGTAAGAATGTAGGGATTATTCTGGTTTTTATGACAAATTATATTTAAAATCCTAGTTTGCCTTGATTATGTTTCCAGGTTTGTTTGTACAATTATACCCGTGCGTGTGGGTTTCACCAGCTCGGTAAACGTTTGAGGCCTGCATCACTTCTGGCTTTCCTCCCACAACAAGCTGCCATGCCATGATATAACTGAAATACTGCATCATTAAACCCAACTCACTCACTCACTGACTAGGGGCGGTCGGGTAGCCTAGTGGTTAAAGCGTTCGTTCGTCACGCTGAAGACCCGGGTTCGATTCCCGACATGGGTACAATGTGTGAAGCCCATTTCTGGTGTCCCCCGCCGTGATATTGCTGGAATATTGCCAAAAGCGGCGTAAAACCATACTCACTCACTCACTGACTATGACAAGTTGATTGGACCGCCTCCATGGCCAGTTGGTAGAGCATCTGCTCGGAGAGCGGAAGATCCAGGGTTCAATCCCGTGAATGAACAATCAGTTCAATTGTTATATGATGTTATGCTTGAGATGACATTGTGATCCTTGCCTATGATGACATCATGTAAGTCTAATGTCCATTACCGATAGACACAGCGATCAGTCAAAAGCGATGGATCTGGACACCATAGAAAATTTAGGTTTTCTTATTGGGGATTCATGCCGGTAGAGAAAGAAACCAGTATCGAAAGACCTCAAAGATGAATCATTTTCAAATGGCTTTTTAAAAATCCAAGATTTTTCATCCAAAACATTTAGCTTCCACAGAAGATATGGCCTGTGTGAGATCAAGTGACATCTCCTGGGACATATCACAGTCCTTTGCAGACCATTGTGGCGTCATCGGTTAGCACGACATCACATTCAAATAACATCAGACATTAATCTCTCTGCCACTGAAGCTGGTGAAAACTCAAGGCACTGATAACTACTATTTACAAACTGAAAATGTCAGAAGAAAGATTTCGGATGATACCGTCTCAATCTCATGTCTTCCAAGCACAAATATATCTAGACTTGTTGTTTGAGGTAAAATTAACCTTGGCAAGTCTCAGATACTTGTAACCTATCAACTAGCCTTGATATATTTGATGTTGGAAGACACTCGGATGAGATTCACTACAAACCTTCAGTACCCACTGGCTAATCAAAGGTTGCTAATTCCTTGTCCAGACAGACAGATTTAGGTATTGGGTTGCTGTCACTCACATTCTACCTGCATGCTTCTTCCCGAGGCAAGGGAGTTAGCTCACTATAAAAGTCACAGTTTCACCCTCGCCAAACTAAGCTGGAATTATGGAGTTATGTTTTGGCTGAACTAACAAGTCTTTGCCTGCTCCAATCAAAATAACGAATCACGAAATCGAAATCCGGTCAACATCAACAGATACTTTCCAAAACCTCTGATGTTTCTAATCAAGGTGCTCACGTGATTTGATGCACTTCGTGAAGTAAGACCTGTTTTATCACAATATAGATTTTGATTATCGATCAGATCGTCTTGACTGAGCTTGGCCCTTCCATTTTGTTTGAAGCAAATGCAGGTGATATGATAGGTTGAATCTGATTGGTCTGTAGGCGGGACATAGAAGGGACATAACTCATAATAGCCACTGGTGGCGCTAAGATCAGGTCTGGAAATTCCATCCTCAGTAGGTTCGGCAAGGGTGGAAACTGGACCTCGGGGAGATCAAGTAGTCGACTTGTACAGGTAATCTAGCATTAAGTAAATGCAGGTAAGACTGTATGGATCAGTGCTGATGCGTTGTCCATGAGATTCTGTCATTTATTGCACTGTCAGTTGGTCAATACCTGGATTAACGAGGCAACAATACCCATGCTAATGAGCTTACAGGTGAGATATCAAGGTGATTGGATGACAGGTGTAAAGTTAATCAATAGATGATGAAGTGATTTTCTAAATTGATATCACTAATTAGTAATGAGGTGTACTGAACGTTTCATCCTTGAGGAGTTAATGACATTGGATTTATCTGATTCTAGATCACCAACATCCCATGCTTATAGTAGGGGACTTCGCGAAGCTGAAACAATTCAGTGGTGTAGTGTGATATTGATCTCATCTACCAGAAGGTGTTCCTGAACTGTGCCCACTTTTATTTTTTAATCTTGTTTGTTTCTTGTTTAACGCAATATTCAAAATTCCAACTATAT